CCCTTGCCCTTGCCGGTGCGGTGTCTCCCGCAAGGGGCAGACGCAGCTCCGACCGACTCGAGGCCAACGAGGTCGGCCGCAGCAGCAGAGGCAACAGAGGGCAAGAGGGGGGAGGGGGAACACCCCTCAAAGACTGGGGTGCGAGGGTCACCACGAGAGGCTCCTACAGCGACTATACTCTTCTCTGCTGCCAGGAGGCGCTTCTTGAGGAGGTCAACGGTGAGTGTGGTGGGGCAAACTGAGAGGAAGTGGTCCCTGACTAAGCGAAGGGAGTCAGGGAGCCGGGTGACTATGTAGTAGAGGGTGATGTACATGGGGGGGGGGGTCTTGGCGCAAAACTCAGCAGGAAGCGCAGCGCGGTAGCGAGTGTCACTAGTGCGAAGGTGCGTAATGAGGTCAGCGACTGTGGGAAAGGCAGCGAGGTCAGGGAACTACAGCAGCAGTATGAGGCGGCTAAGAGCAGCAGTGGCAGGGGAAGAGTAGCGTGCAACTACAGCGTCGTACAAGGTCTTAGCACTCTTGTACTGACTAAAGTGCGCACGCTCAGCGGTCGGTAAGTGGCGACGCACAGCAAGACGGGCAGCAGCATCGCGTGTGGCCCACTGTGAGCGAGCAGTGCTGTCAGCATCAGCAGGCGGGGCAGGAGAGGCACCAGACGTGAGATCGAAAAGGGAGAGACCGTCTGCCCTATCGCACTGTAGGAAAAGCTGCAAGTCATCGACCCAGACCTCAAAGTCAACAGCCCGACCCTCAGCATCAAAGGTAAGGACACTGGGGGTAGCCATGACAGCAGCAGTCTAGTGGTGAGAGCGGCAGGCTAGAGGTAGTGCAGTGGCAGAGACGCTGCTCGGGAAAGCTCTCACCAGTCCGGGTGGGGAGGGCCGGGGCGCGCCGGCAGGAACAGGGCCGTAGCTGCGGCGGCGGCGGCTTGGCGGCTCAGCAGCGGCTCGGCGGCTCGGCGGCAGCTCGGCGGCTCGGCGGCGGCTCGGCGGCGGCTCGGCGGCGGCTCGGCGGCTCAGCGGCGGCTCGGCGGCTCGGCGGCGGCTTGGCGGCTCGGCTGCAGCTGCGGCGGCAGGGCCGGGGAGGGGCCGCACAGAGCGGCGAAGGGGCGGCTGTAGGGCGGCGACGGGGCCGCTGAAGGGCGGCGACGGGGCCGCTGGAGGGCGGCGGCGGGGCCGCTGGAGGGCTGCGACGGGGCCGCGGTAGGGCGGCGACGGGGTCGCTGAAGGGCGGCGGCGGGGCCGCTAGAGGGCGGCGACGGGGCCGCGGTAGGGCGGCGACGGGGCCGCTGAAGGGCGGCGGCGGGGCCGCTAGAGGGCGGCGACGGGGCCGCGGTAGGGCGGCGACGGGGCCACTGAAGGGCGGCGGAGGGGCCGCTAGAGGGCGGCGACGGGGCCGCGGTAGGGCGGCGACGAGGCCGCTGAAGGGCGGCGGCGGGGCCACTAGAGGGCGGCGACGGGGCCGTTTGGAGGGCGGCGACGGGGCCGCGAAAGGGCGGCGACGCGACCGCGAAGGGCGGCAGGTGGGCCGCGAAGGCGGCGACGGGGCCGCGAGAGGGTGGCCGGGCCGCAAGGGGCGGCGACGGGGCCGTGAAGGGTGGCGACGGGGCCGTGAGGGGGGGGCCGTGAGAGGGGCCGCTAAGGGCGGCGCAACGGGCCGCTAAGGGGAGGGCGGCCCACAGGGCGCGCCTCGGTCAGGGGCGACTCGATCTCAGGGCAGAGAAAAAAAAAAAATAGTGGTGGGCCCAAGGAAAAGTTCCCACTAGGGAACCTGCTCTATACCATGTGAAGAAATGAGGAATGAATGAACTAGGAAATGAGTTGGGTACAAATATGCAACCCTAGAATGCTGTACCCCATACTGTCTACCCCACTACAGCCTAGAAAGACTATAGCATATGAGTTCGACAGTAACCCCCTCGGAGGTCGATTTTCGAGAAAACCCGGGCTGTGCGCAGTTGGTCGATCAGTTCGTCGGCCCGCGGGATGGGGTAACGGGATTTGATGGTAACCCTGTTCAGTGCTCTGTAATCTATGCACATGCGAAATCCCCCGTCTTTTTTCGGTGTGAACAGTATCGGTGCTGCGAAGGGTGACGAACTAGGGCGAATGAATTCCTTCTCGAGAAGGTAATCCAGCTGCTTCCTCAGTTTGTCCAGTTCGGGTTGGGTCAGTCGAAATTGTCGCTGTACTGTCGGCTGTGCCCCCGGTTGGCTGAGGTGGCAGTCCCGTTGGCAGGTCATCCGGAAATATCTCTCTGTACTGCTTCAGGAGCGCTGCCAAGTCGTCCGGTACGTCGGCAAGCAGTTTCTGTAAATCCCCTCCCTGGTCTGTAGCTTCGGCTTCCCGAATGTCAACCGCATACACGTCAGCTCCTGCCGCTACGGCGCGCTTCATTATGATCGCGTTGACACGCACCGACGAAGACTCAGGCGAGCCCCAGCGAGGTAAGGCGATGTTGTTACCATTCACTCGCACGGTGCAGTCACCCGTCGTCGAGTCGATTCGCGGATTGTGTCGTCGCAACCAATCCCGACCGAGTAAAATGTCGGTTCCGTCGAGGGTCGTCGCGAGCATTTCCTGGCTAAACGTGAAGTTACCCCCGCATCGAATCCGAACCCGGCCTACGCGTTCCCGTATCGCCAGTGGCGTGCCGTCGACCAGTCTTGCGTCGATCTCAGGTAAGCATTTGTCCAGTGGCAGTTTCAGCTTCCGTGCCGTGGCAGTGTTGATGAGGCTGTGGCTGGCTCCCCCGTCTACGAAGATTTTAACTAAGTCTGTCCCAATTTTCCCACTAAGCAGTATGGGGTTGTCTACCGCGGTACCCTCCTTATTCCGCCGAGTGTGGTCGATTGCGTGAACCGGCATAATCACTCGGTGAGGGTCGGTTGGGTCGGGCGAGCGGCGGGACCTCTCAGTAGAGGGCCCGTCTGCTACTGACTTCCAGCGTTTCCCTGCTGCTTGGTCTGTTTCTGCTGCTCGGCTTCCCCCTTTCCCTTAGCGTTTTCCGGGCATTCGCTCTTGCGATGTCCCGGCTGATTGCACGCAAAGCAGCGCCCTTTGAACGGTGCGGAAGCGGCATTTGCGGCGACGGCACGTATCGTAGCACCCTCGTTCGTCCCACGAGACCGATGTCCCCAATGGCTGCTTCCGTAGGACCCCGGTCTCGGTCGGCGGAAGAAGTCGAGTTTCTCCGCCATAGCGAGAACTTCTTGAAAGTCAGTGACGCCGCGAAGCTGGATTTCCTGAGCGATGTCCTGCTTCAGGCCGCCGATGTAGCGGTCGATGCGCTCGCTCTCGTGCATATATCCCACCTGCTCGCATAGCGCCAGAAATCCGCTCGTGTAGTCTTGGACGGAACCAAGTTGGCGCCAAGTGCGGAGCTTCTGTCGCGCCGCGATCGAAGCCGCGATTGGCTCGAAACGAGCGCGCAGACCTGCGCACCACGCGTCCCACGTGCGATACTGGGGCACCTCCACGAAGTACGACGGCGCCCAGGGTCTGGTTTGTCCTTCCCGTGTCGGTAGAGTCGCGTAGTCCATCGGCTTCGTGACGATGACGCGCCACCAATCCATGGCGGGTCCTCGCAGCAGCGACACGGCGTAGCGAATTTTCGCCGTATCCTCCGAGACGTAGTTGGCGTCGAAAAACACGTTCATCGTGAACAACCACGCTTGAACGGTAGGACCACCCCTTTGACTGGGATCGAAGCATGGCGGACGCTGCGGCTTCAGCGGCATCGGTGACGGCAGTGCCGAATCGTCGGTTGGTGCCGAAATTGTGACGCGTGGCTGGCTTCGGGCCGCATTCGTCGCTTCGGGGTGTGTCGTGCCGTGGTCGTCGTCTCCGTCGGGGCGGACGACGCCATCACTGGCCGCACTCGCGGGTTGCCCCACGCTTCCGTGTTGCGATGCTTGTGGTGCGGGCTGTTCCGGAGTGCCAGGTGCTTGAGATTGCTCTTGTTGTGCTCGTGTGAGATCATTTTGCAGGGACGAGCGTTCTGCCGTCAACGTCGCGATTTCTTCGGCGCTCTCGCGGATTTGTCGCAGCAGATCGTTCAAGTGCTCCTGCGTGAGAGTCGTGACGTCGATATGCTCAGCCATTTCGAAGGGCGTCGGCTCGTCTTAGTCTAGGCGCAGTCGTGGCTGCACGCGTTTACGAGAGAACGCGAGGACAGCGGCTCCTAGGTGCTAAGGTGCGTGAGTCCCTTCGAGTGAAAAATCAAAAGTTGATTTCCTGGGGTGCGGAGATGCGCGGTCTGAAAAGGAGAGAGGCTTTGAATACCAAGTGTTACGGGTGCAATGGATCGAGGTAGCGAGAATTGCATTAAGGTGTCAAATGAGTACAAAATGTGAGCGAAGGCATGAGCGAACATTTATACGCGAAACATGCAAACGGTAACGCGGTGCGTGCGAGCTGGCTAGTGCTATGCTGGCAGCGAGGCTTGGGCTAGTCCCGAAGCGTAGGCCGACACGGCCGGGCCAGCAGTGCGAGGTTTGGCAAAACAGTGCGCGCGAAGTTGGCGAAGCCCCGTTAGCAGTAACGGGCGAACAACGGCTGTTGCTGTACGCGATGTAGTCGGACTCCATAAGGAATGCCAAGAAAATTACTTACACCTTTCTGCATTCCATTATTCATGTAATGCTTTTGCAAATGTCAGAACAGTCCACCATCTGTAATCGCAGTAACCAAATTCTAGGTCGTTAGGCACCAAACCTCAAGATTCTTCAATGACAGTTGTGTTTGAAACCGAAAAGCATCGTTACCACCATCTACCACACACATTCACTCTGAGCACATCTACACCTCTCGGTACCCCTTCCTGATCCCCAAGCTCAGATTCGAAATCCCGTAACGAGGCAAACATAAGCAATTCCTCGAAGTTTGATTGTCAGAATGGTGAGTGATTCTTCCTGATTCCTCGCTCCCAAGCTTCGGTAGCTTGCTATTCACTTGTGTTGCTCCAAGCGACGTGTCTTAGGGGATCGACGCTTAGCCGCCATGTGGTCTAGAGGCGGCGCGTCCGTGGCGCCAGTGGGAAAGCCGGCAGCGTACGGCGCGCGAGCACCTATGGCTGCTGCAGCGGTCCCCGAGAGTCTAAAAGTCGTCAACTGTCCGTCGCCAGATCTCGCGTTGACGAACTTCGCATTTCTTTCGCGAACGGAGCTGCCTTGCTTCGCAGCGTTCCAAGGGAGCCCGCACGGATTCATCGAGATCGGAGGAAATATCCTCACCGTTGCATATCCTCTCAACCGCGTCCCTCCCGTCGCAATCTTAGTCTAGTTCCGTCTCGTCTTAACCCGTCTCTTCGCATGGTCTGTCATGGTCTGTCTTTCCGCACTCCTTCGCGTATCCTCTGTATCCTTCAGTTCTTATCAGGCTCGACTCAAACTTTCGTACCTTCGTTCCTGCCTCCGTTCCAGTGTGTGGTGTCCTATCCATGCCTAGACTCCGCCCTATGCTCAACCCTTGTCTCCGCTCCCTTGCTCCCCCCCAGCCTTGTTACCCCAAGCTCCCCCCTTTGCACTACCCTCGTCTCCTCTCTCCTTGTTCAAGTTACCCTTAACTTCGACCCCCTCTGTATTGCGGCGGCGTGCCTTCGTCGCGCTTTTTCCTGTCCAATCATCGGTTCATGGCGGCGGATTCCGACCAATCACAGCGCACGAAGGCGTGGAGGTGGGGGCCGTGGCGCTCAACGCGGTGCAGCGCCGCAACGCGCGCGTCTCTGCGGGCGACCGGGTGCCGGTGGGGAGGTGGGTGGTGGCGATAGCGACCGGGGGGAGCGACAGGGTGGCTGCGGGTAGGTTGGTGGAGTAGATGGCTGGGATGGGAGGTCAGGGGGAGTGGCCTGGTGGGGGCAGTGGCGCTCAGCATCGTACAGCGCCGCAACGCGCGGGTGTCTGCGGGCAATTGGGTGCTTTTGGGGAGGTAGGGGAGCTGTGGGGGAAAGGGGGGAGGGAGAGAGGGTGCCTATGGGGGAAAGGGGGGAGGGAGAGAGGGTGCCTGTGGGGGAAAGGGGGGAGGGAGAGAGGGTGCCTGTGGGGGAAAGGGGGGAGGGAGAGAGGGTGCCTGTGGGGGAAAGGGGGGAGGACAGGGTGCCTGTGGGGAGGTAGGAGAGAAAGGAGGGGGGAAGGCAGGGTGCAGTTTATTTGTGTATTGGATGCGGTCACAATCTTGGCGATTTTTTCTCCCTGTGTTCACCTCTCCCTCCCGATCCTCCTGTTCTCTCTCCTCTCCCTCGCTCTTCTCTCCTCTGCCTTTCCTCTCCGGTCCCCATTTCCCCCTCATCAAACCAGGTTCGTTCCCCCACCAATGAACTTTGAGCTACAGACCACCACGCTGGAGATTGACTTCCACTCCAAGGGCCGAGCCAGAGCCGAGCAGGTGAGGGTTTCGAGATGACTGAGGGGCGAGCATAGCAGGTGAGTGAGAGTACATGCTAAGAGGATTCGTCCCCCGCCAATCAATTTTGAGCTGCAGACGATCACTCTGGAAATCGACTTCCACTCCAAGGGCTGATCCAGAGCCGAGCAGGTGAGGGATATGAGGACATCTTGTCTTCTCTTTTCTCCGCTCTGCTCTGCACTCGTGTGTAACCTCCGAAAGTCCTGACAGCATAAGCCTTGTCTCCCTGCTCTCCTCTCCTCTCCTCTCCACTCTTCTAGGTTCCCCGCCCTCTACCTCCCTCCCTCACAGCTGGGCGCAGCAGAGCTATCAAAGGACGTGCTGAAGGGAAGAAGATCTCCTTCTGGGTTCCTCTCATCCTCGTTACTGACATTGCCCTCCTCCCCCTCTTCCTCTACCCCCTCTCTCCTTTCGCACAGCTAGATGCAGCAGAGCTATCATAAGTCGTGCTGGAGCCCTTTTCAGGGCAGGTGCTGACAGTGGGGCAGAAGGTCTCCTTTCAATCATATTGCCCTCATTCCCCTAACTCATGTCGCCCTCTTCTCTTCTCTCCCCATCCCCTGCCTCCCTCCCGCACAGCTGGACGCAGCAGAGCTAACAAAGGACGTGCTGAAGCGCTTTGCAGGGCAGGTGCTGACGGTGGGGCAGACGATATCCTTTGAGTTCCACAGCACCAACTTCGCCCTCACCGTCATTCTCGTGCAGATTGAACCGTGTGAAATCGACTGTCTACCCTGCGCTCCTCTCCTCTCCTTTCTCTGTTTTTCTGTTCCGCTCCTCCTCTCCCCCACTCCCCTTTCCCGTTCGCCGCTTCCCACACAGCTGGACGCAGCAGAGCTATCAAAGGACGTGCTGAAGCGCTTTGCAGGGCAGGTGCTGACAGTGGGGCAGAAGATCTCCTTTGAGTTCCGCGGCACCAACTTCGCCCTCACTGTCATTCTCGTGGAGTTCCCAGCGCCTGAGGGGCAGGAGGGCGCACGGGCGTTTACCTCCACGCGAGGGCTGCTGGTGAAGCAGACAGGGATCATCTATGAAGCTGCTGCTGGCTCAGGCATCAGGTGGGTTCTGTTTGGGGTTGGCTCAAGTGTCTGTGCAAGTGCTGAAAGTGCGGCAGAGGGGTAGAAGATCTTTGAGACGTCTCAGAAGATCTCCTTTGAGTTCCGTGGGACCAACTTCACCCTCACCGTCATTCTCGTGGAGTTCCCAGCTCCTGAGGGGCAGGAGGGCGCACGGGCGTTTACCTCCACGCGAGGGCTGCTGGTGAAGCAGACGGGATCATCTATGAGGCTGCTGCTGGGTCAGGCATCAAGGTGGGTTCTGTTTGGGGTTGACTCAATAGCCAGAAGAACACTGCAGGAGGGACAGCAGGGTGTGTGTGCGTTTGCGTCCACGAGAGGGCTGCTGGTGAAGCAACATGGTTTATTTTATGAAGCTGCTGCTGGCTCAGGTATCAAGGTGGGTTCTTTTCTAGGTCGACTCAAAAGCCAGAACAATGCAGGAGGGACAGCAGGGTGTGTGTGCGTTTGCGTCCACGAGAGGGCTGCTGGTGAAGCAACATGGTTTATTTTATGAAGCTTCTGCTGGCTCAGGTATCAAGGTGGGTTCTTTTCTAGGTCGACTCAAAAGCCAGAACAATGCAGGAGGGACAGCAGGGTGTGTGTGCGTTTGCGTCCACGAGAGGGCTGCTGGTGAAGCAACATGGTTTATTTTATGAAGCTTCTGCTGGCTCAGGTATCAAGGTGGGTTCTTTTCTAGGTCGACTCAAAAGCCAGAACAATGCAGGAGGGACAGCAGGGTGTGTGTGCGTTTGCGTCCACGAGAGGGCTGCTGGTGAAGCAACATGGTTTATTTTATGAAGCTGCTGCTGGCTCAGGTATCAAGGTGGGTTCTTTTCTAGGTCGACTCAAAAGCCAGAACAATGCAGGAGGGACAGCAGGGTGTGTGTGCGTTTGCGTCCACGAGAGGGCTGCTGGTGAAGCAACATGGTTTATTTTATGAAGCTTCTGCTGGCTCAGGTATCAAGGTGGGTTCTTTTCTAGGTCGACTCAAAAGCCAGAACAATGCAGGAGGGACAGCAGGGTGTGTGTGCGTTTGCGTCCACGAGAGGGCTGCTGGTGAAGCAACATGGTTTATTTTATGAAGCTGCTGCTGGCTCAGGCATCAAGGTGGGTTCTTTTCTGGGTCGGCTCAAGATTCTATCTACAAGCGCTAGCGCTAGCTCTAGCTCTAGCTCTAGCTCTATTCGTTGCTCTACCAGCCGCAGCACCAACCAACCAACCAGCTCCGCCCTCTCCGTGCTCCTCGTGGAGTTCCCATCGCCTGAGCGGAATCTTTTGAGTCGACTCAAAAGTCACCAACCAACCAACCAGCTCCGCCCTCTCCGTGCTCCTCGCGGAGTTCCCGTCGCCTGAGCGGAATCTTTTGAGTCGACTCAAAAGTCACCAACCAACCAACCAGCTCCGCCCTCTCCGTGCTCCTCGTGGAGTTCCCGTCGCCTGAGCGGAATCTTTTGAGTCGACTCAAAAGTCACCAACCAACCAACCAGCTCCGCCCTCTCCGTGCTCCTCGTGGAGTTCCCGTCGCCTGAGGGGCAGCAGGCAGCAGACCCCTGTTGTGACCCCTGACCCTCCTGTGTCTTGCCTTGCCCGTACCCCTCCCCTTCCCCTTCCCCCCCCCCAGGTGCCAAATCGCTACTGCCAATCACTACTACTGTTCAAGCAGAAGGACTTCAACTTTGAGAAGCTCGGCATTGGAGGGCTCGACGCCCAGTTTTCCCATGTCTTCCCATCCCATGCCGTGCTCCCCCTCTCTCTGTTTCTCTCCCTCTCTCTTTCTCCTGCGTCTTGCCTTAAACGTGCCCCTCCCTCCCTCCTTTTTTTTTTTTTTTTTTTTTTTTTTTTTTTTCCCTCCTTCCCTTTCCCCTCCTCCCCTCCCCCCCCTTCTCATCAGGTGGTGAATCAGAGGACAGGGGGTGCCAAAGCAGCAGCGCTATTCAAGCAGAAAGACTTCAACTTTGAGAAGCTCGGCGTTGGAGGTCTCAATGCCCAGTTTGCCGATATTTTCCGATCCCGGACTCCCTTTTCCCCTCTCTTCTCCTCCCTTTCTCACTTTCTCCTGCGCCTTGCCTTGTCCGTGCTCCACCCTCTCCTCTTCCCCTTCCCCCCTCTCATCAGGTGGTGAATCAGAGGACAGGGGGTGCCAAAGCAGCAGCGCTATTCAAGCAGAAAGACTTCAACTTTGAGAAGCTCGGCGTTGGAGGTCTCAATGCCCAGTTTGCCGATATTTTCCGATCCCGGACTCCCTTTTCCCCTCTCTTCTCCTCCCTTTCTCACTTTCTCCTGCGCCTTGCCTTGTCCGTGCTCCACCCTCTCCTCTTCCCCTTCCCCCCTCTCATCAGGTGGTGAATCAGAGGACAGGGGGCGGCAAGGCAGCGGCGCTATTCAAGCAGAAGGACTTCAACTTTGAGAAGCTTGGCATCGGAGGTCTTGATGCCCAGTTTGCTGATATCTTCCGCCGAGCCTTCGCCTCCCGCGTCTTCCCACCGCACATCATCTCGCGGTGAGTATTTTGCTTTTATCTCACAATGGGTTTTGAGAATTCTAAGAAAAGGCACAGTTGGCTGACATTTTTCACTGAGCCTTCGCCTCCTGCGTCACCCCACATCATCTCCCGGTGGGTATTGCCATTGTTAGATGGACTTTCGCATCATCTCTCGGTGAGGGAAGAGAGCCGTTTTGATACAGTGGGTGTCTCATTTTGGCTTTCTTAGAATCGTTTCACAATGTGTTCCCCCTACCCCCCCTTCTCCCCCGCTTCCTTTTCATCCCTCCCCAGCCTGGGCATCACGCACGTTAAGGGCATGCTGCTGCACGGTCCACCTGGCACGGGCAAGGTGCTGATCCCCTGGGCATGCCTCCAACCCCCCCCTCTTCCCCCCTGCCCCTTCCAACTCGTCCCTTATCATCTCCCCCCAGCCAGGGCATCTTGCCCGTGAAGGGCATGCTACTGCACGGTCCCCCTGGCACGGGGAAGACACTGATAGCCTGGTCGTTTCCTTCTTTCTCCCACTGCCCTTACCCTATTCCCCCCCAGCCTGGGCATCACGCATGTGAAGGGCATGCTGCTGCACGGGCCCCCCGGCACGGGCAAGACGCTGATTGCGCGGCAGATAGGCAAGCTGCTGAACGGCATGGAGCCCAAGGTATGGGGGAATGGAGTGTGGGTAGATGATTGGGTGGGTGGGGCTTCTGGGCTGTGCTGCTGGTGCTGGGTGGGACTCTGCTCTCCTCCTCTCCCCACCGCCCCCGGCACGGGCAAGACGCTGATTGCGTGGCAGATAGGCAAGCTTTTAAACGGCATGGAGCCCAATGTATGGGGGGATCTCGTGGGGGTGGTTGCTTCTGCTGTTGCTGGGGGCTGGTTGGTGTTGTTGTTGCTGGTTGCATGTGTGGCAAGCGGAGGAGCACTGGGGTGGGGGTGTTCTCTGCTTCCCCTTCCTCTCTTTCCCCCCGGCACAGGCAAGACGCTGATTGCACGGCAGATAGGCAAGCTGCTGAACAGCATGGAGCCTAAGGTGGGTGTTTCTGCTGTTGCTGGAGGCTGGTTGGTGTTGTTGTTGCTGGTTGCATGTGTGGCAAGCGGATGAGCCCTGGGGTGGGTCTTCCGGCATGGGCAGGCAAGACGCTGATTGCACAGCAGATAGACAAGCTTCTCAACGGCATGGATCCTAAGGTATGGTGGTACTAGTGCTTCTCGGGGTTGTTGGTGTGTGTATACTCCTCCTTCCTCTCCCCTCTCCCCCCACCCGGCACGGGCAAGACGCTGATCGCATTGCAGATAGGCAAGCTTCTCAACGGCATGGATCCGCCTATGAACACCCAAGGTGTGGGTGGGGTGGGTGGTGGGGATGGAGGGTGGGAGTGTCTTTTGAGACGTCTCAAAAGCAATATGGACGTCTTGGGCTTGGCTGATGGGGCAGTGGAGAAAAACATCCGCGACTTGTCCACACCACTCCCTATCACTCTAGACCGCTCTACACCACGTTCTGTGTCCTATGTTAACCCTACACAATCACTCCAGATGGTGAGTGGACCTGAAATCCTTCACAAGTAGGTCGGGGCAGCAGAGACGAACATCCAGGACCTGTTTGCTTGCACCCATCTACACCACTTGAAACCACTCTTCGTGCCCTCTCTCCAGGTGGTGAACAGCCCTGAGATCCTGGACAAGTACGTGGGGGCAGCAGAGAAGAACATCCGAGACCTTTTTGCACCACTCTCTATCACTCTACTCTACACCGCTCTAAACCACTTTTGCGCCCTACGTTTTCCCTATTCCATCGCTCCAGGTGGTTAACGGCCCTGAGATTCTGGACAAGTACGTGGGAGCAGCAGAGAAGAACATCCGAGACCTGTTTTCACTCCAATAAACCCCACTCCACCACTCTGCACCATTTCCTATGCTCCCTCCAGGTGGTGAACGGCCCTGAGATTCTGGACAAGTACGTGGGAGCAGCAGAGAAGAACATCCGAGACCTGTTTGCGGATGCTGAGAAGGATCAGAAGGAGCACGGGGACGAGAGCGATCTGCATATCATCATCTTTGATGAGATCGACGCCATCTGTAAGGTGAGACGTGGTGGATTGAAGGAGATTGTTTATGAAGGGTCTTCTGGTTCTTGGTTGTTGAAGCTGAGAAGGACCCGGAAGGAGCATGGCGATGAGAGTGACCTGCACATCGTCATCTTTGATGAGATCGACGCCATCTGTAAGGTGAGAGTTCTTATTGTGATAGGATCTTGTAAGGTATCATGGGGCCTTCATTGTCGCTCCCGCTTGCTTCCTCATAGTTATAGGAGCATCCCTCACATCATCACTCACACTGGCCAATCTGCATTTCCTCACACTCACTCCCACCTATCCTCCTCTCCTCTTCAATAGCATACGCCACTTCCTCCTTCATATCTCCCTCCTCCCGTCTCACCTCCTCTCTCACCTACCCCTCTCTCCTGCCGTCTCACCTTCTCTCATCCGCCCTCTCTCCTTTCTCCACCTTCCCCCATCAGAGTCGAGGGTCTGTCCGCGATGGCACGGGGGTGCAGGACAGCATTGTCAACCAACCGCTCCCCTCCCTCCTCCCTCCCTCTTCCCCTCTCTCGCACTCGCCCTCTCCCCATTCGCCTTCCCCATCAGAGTCGAGGGTCTGTACGCGATGGCACGGGGGTGCATGACAGCATAGTCAACCAGCTGCTCACAAAGGTACGTCCACGCCTCTCCCCCTCCTCCTCGTCCCCATTCCTGTCCCCATACTATCCTCCCATACTGCGATGGCACGGGGGTGCATGACAGCATAGTCAATCAGTTGCTCACAAAGGTACGCCCATGCTGCTCCCCCTCCTCCTCCTCCTCCCTCCACCTCTCCCCTTGTGCCCGCTTACTATCCCTCCATATCCCGATGGCACGGGTGTGCATGACAGCGCAGTCAATCAGTTGCTCACAAAGGTACGCCCATGCCGGCCCCTTGTTTCTCCCCTTGAAGTGAGAAGATTTTAGAGGCGCCTCAGAAGATGTCCGCGATGGCACGGGGGTGCATGACAGCATAGTCAACCAGTTGCTCACAAAGGTACGTGCATGCCACTCCCCCTCCTCCGCTTCCCTCCTGCCCCTTCTTCCTCTCTCCTCCTGCCCTTGCTATACCCTTAATACTATGATGGCACGGGGGTGCATGACAGCATAGTCAACCAGTTGCTCACAAAGGTACGTCCATGTCCCTCCCCTCCTCTTCTCCCCTGCCGCCGCTTCATCCTCCTCCCCTCCTCTGCCCCCCCTCCTCCCTCCCCTCCTCCTCTCCCCTCCTGCCCCCATACTATACCCCCATGCTGCAATGGTGCGGGAATGCACAACAGCATGTTCAACCAGTCGCTCAGAAATGCATGTGCCCCTCGTCGTCCTCCTCCTCCTCCTCTCCCCTCCTACCCTTTCCTCCTCTTCCCTCCTGCCTGTCCTCCTCCTCCCGCCTGCCCACCTATCCCCCCTTTTCCTGCTCACTCTTATTGTGCACAGATTGATGGAGTAGAGTCGCTGAACAACATTCTTCTCATCGGCATGATCTATGCTTCTGCATAACATTCTCATCATTCTTCTCAACATTCTTCTCATCGCTGAACGACATTCTTCTGCCTGCCGTGCCCCGCCTCCTCACCTCACTTTCCATCACAGATTGATGGAGTGGAGTCGCTGAACAACATTCTTCTCATCGGCATCCTGCTCCCCTCCGTTCCCCACCCCCCCATCCCCCCACCTCCCCACCTCCTCACCCCACGTTTATTGTGCACAGATTGATGGAGTAGAGTCGCTGAACAACATTCTTCTCATCGGCATGACCAATCGGAAAGACATGCTCGACGAGGCTCTGCTCAGGTGCAGTGCGGTGCTGTGTGGTCTGTTGGAATGAAAAGGCATGTGATGCGGTGTCAGTGATGTGGTATGAAGTGTGATTGAGGTTGTGTATTTTTTGAATTGTAGTTAGAGCAATTTATTCTGGTGGAGGTGCAGATCGAAATAGGGTTACCAGACAAAGAGGGCCAAGTGAAGAGGTCCACTTTGTCCTGGCCATCCATCCTGCCTTTTTACACCCCCCCCACCTCCACTCTCCCTCTCTCCCTTTCCCCATCCTCGCCAGACCGGGTCGACTGGAGGTGCAGATCGAAATAGGGTTACCAGACGAGGAGGGGCGAGTGAAGATCCTGGCCATCCATTCCAACAAGATGCGTGAAAACTCCTTCATGGGTGCTGACGTGGACCTCCACAGCTTGGGTAAGCCAAGAATTGTTCCTTATTTTCTTCTTCTTTTCTTTTCTTTCGTTCTGTAAATTGGAAATGGTTTTCCATAACTTGGCTTGGGGTTGACCAAATAACTTTTGTCTCCCTTCCTTCCCGTTCACCCCAGCTGCACGCACCAAGAGCTTCAGTGGAGCAGAGCTGGTGGGACTAGTCAAGAGTTCGCACCCCTCCCTCTACCTCTTCCCACCCTCCCATCCGCCCCCCTCCAGCAATTCACACCAAGAACTTCAGTCGGATACAGCTCAGAGGATGAAGAGTGCTGCGCCATCTCCTTCGCCCTGTCAAGGCAAACGGACCCGGGAGACCTGAGCAAGGCTATAGAAGAGGCCAACATCCGAGTGCCCTCCACTCTCTCATTAACACCTCCATTATCCCACCCCCCTCTCGCATCCCCCTCTAACATCCTTTTTTCTCAACCCCTTTTCTTAAATCCCGCAGCTGCCTGCACCAAAAGCTTCAGTGGAGCGGAGCTAGAAGGTCCAGTGAACAGCGCTGTCTCCTTCGCCCTGTCAAGACAGACAGACCCGTCCGACCTGACAAAGGCGATAGACGAGGACAACATCCGAGTGACCTATGTTCTCCCACCATTCCCCCCGCTGTGCTGGCCTCTTCCCCCTCCCAGCTGCCCGCACCAAGAATTTCAGTGGAGCAGAGCTAGAAGGACTAGTCAAGAGCGCTGTCTCCTTCGCGCTGTCAAGGCAGACGGACCCGTCAGACCTGACCAAGGCGATAGACGAGGACAACATTCGGGTGACCATGGTGGACTTTGAAGAGGCGCTCAAGGAGGTGCGGCCGGCTTATGGCGCCAACACAGAGCAGCTTAACATGTACCGGTGAGTCAGCCGCTACTTCCCTCCAGCTCCAGTGCTCGAATTCTTGCACTCTGAGTAGCGCCTCTTGCACCCGTCCGACCTGACCAAGGCGATAGACGAGGACAACATTCGGGTGACCACGGTGGATTTCGAAGAGGCGCTCAAGGAGGTGCGCCCGGCCTATGGCGCCAACACAGAGCAGCTCAACATGTACCGGTGAGTTCGTTGCTGCTCCGATTCAGTCCCAGAGCGTGCCGTTTGCACTCTGAGCACCGCCGTGACAGCGTGACGTCAACCCATCCCATGCCCTCCATCCCGCATCTCCCCCTTCTTGTTTGCAGTCTGAACGGCATGCTGCAGTCCCTGACAGCGCACCACCACATCCTCTCCACCGCTAAGCGCCAGGTGCTGCAAGTGCGGAGCAGCGAGAGAACGCCCCTGCTGACGTGCCTGCTGGAAGGGTCGCCAGGGAGGTGAGCGTGGTTTGGAGGAAAGGGGGTAGCGGAAGGAGAGAAAGAGGGGCAGGAAGAAAACGCCGTAACACCCACTGCAAGTGCGGAGCAGCGAGAGAACGCCCCTGCTGACGTGCCTGCTGGAAGGGTCCCCAGGGAGGTGAGTGTGTGTGTGGGGATTGGGAGACAGGCGAGAATGGGAATGCAACTACGCCTGATCTCACTGTTAGAGCTAGACCAGAATCTCACATTTGTACTTGTGCTTTTTTATATCCTTGCTGAGGGATATGAATGTTTTTTTTCTCTCTCGCTGCGTTGGGTTGGGAGATGAGCCGTTGTGGGACGAGCCGTTTCTCACCATCTGGTCATGCCATGCATGCGTGGTCCCATACTCATTCGTGTTTCCAACTTTCCACCCGTTCTGCTCTCACTGCAGTGGAAAGACGGCTCTTGCTGCAACGATTGCCATGGAAAGCGGTTTCCCCTTTGTTAAGATGGTACGTGGCTTTGCGACTCTCCCGTTGCGTTCTTCAACATTATCCTTGTCACCTCGTCCCATTGTCACCTTGCTACCTGGTTACCTTCCCCTGATACATGAATTGGCTTGTTTCATTAATTTCCTCTCCTCCAACTTCTTCGCGTCTCTAATTATTCACTTATTTATTCTCTTATCATTTCTCCATGACTCTCTCTCCCATATCAACGGACCAGATCTCAGCAGAGACGATGGTGGGCATGTCAGAGCCGTCCAAATGCTCAGCCATAGCCAAGGTGGGTGAACTTCTACTGAGCATATCATGTACTGTTATGTATTCCATTGTCTAGTAAGTTTTTTTTTTTTTTTTTTTTCTTTCCATACGTGTTCTTAAATCAAATACCAGCAGGAAAAATGGTGGTTTGTGTGTTGGATAGGGCCAATCCTCCTCCCCCCCATCCCATCCAACAGGTGTTTGACAATGCATCGGCTTCAGCGTCAGCTTCCCAGCGTTCAGCGTTCAGACGACATAGAGCGCTTCTTTGAGTATTTCAGCATCGGCTTCCCAGGCACCCCATCTGCCCACCTGCTGTCCCGTCCTCCTTCCCTCCCCTTATCCGCAGGTGTTTGACGACGCATATAAATCCGCATTCAGCATCGTGATTCTGGACGACATAGAGCGCCTCTTTGAGTATGTCAGCATCGGCCCGCGCTTCTCCAACCTCGTGCTGCAGTCGCTGCTCGTGCTCGTCAAGAGGCTTCCGCCTGAGGTGGGTTGGGATGGGTTGGGATGGGTTGGGATGGGTTGGAATGGGTTGGGATGGGTTGGGATGATCTCCCCAGTGGTAGCAAAATTTCCCGCCAAACTGCACCTTCCACTTCTCCAACCTCGTGCTGCAGTCGCTGCTCGTGCTCGTCAAGAGGCTTCCCCCTGAGGTGGGTTAGCTGGTCCGTCTCCCCGGTGATAGCACCCACCCCCCACCTGCACCTTCCCCTTCCCGCGCTGCTCCAACCTCATGCTCGTGCTTGTCAGGAAAACAGTTTCAACCTGGATCCAACAGGTAACTCGTCCTAATCTCTTCCTAATCTCCTCTAGGTTGAGCTTAGGCTAGTAGGGATTGAATAGGTAAGAAATTGTCATTCAAACCTGAGCGTACGCGCGTTTCGGCCGGTGGCCTTCATCAGCGCTCTCCAACCTCATGCTCGTGCTTGTCAGGAGACTTCCTCCTGAGGTACGTTGATCACAAGGGTGTTCCAATGGTCAAAACCCACTCGCCCACCACCACCACCACCACCACCACCACCACCACCACCACCACCACCACCACCACCACCACCACCACCACCACCCTCTCACCAACACCCTTCTCCTGCGCTTCTCCAACCTCGTGCTGCAGTCACTGCTCGTGCTCGTCAAGAGGCTTTTCCCTGAGGTGAGAAGCGATAGTCCTGCCAGTGGTAGCAACCAACCCCCCTGAATATTGGAGTGACTTTTGAGAATTCTCAAAAGTCACTCCAATGAAGCGATAGTCCTGCCAGTGGTAGCAACCCCCCTGAACCGCACCTTCCCCCTCTCTGCTTCTCCAACCTCGTGCTGCACTCGCTGCTCGTGCTCGTCTTGACTTCCCCTCTCCGCACTCTGCCGCTTCCCCCCCAATGTCTTACTTCCCCACCCTCCTCCGCTCCAGGGTCACAAGCTGTACGTGATTGCAACCACCAGTTTTCCCGAGGCGCTTCAGGAGGCCATGCACCTCTCGTCCTCCTTCATTCACCCCCGCGCTTTCCCTTCCACCTCTCCCCCACCCCGCCTTCTCCCTTCATCTCATACAGGGTCACAAGCTGTACGTGATCGCAACCACGAGTCTGCCCGAGGCTCTTCAGCAGGCCATGCACCTGTCGTCCTCCTTCAACACTGTTCTCACCGTGCCCACGCTTTCCCGCATCGAAACCAGGGCGGTGAGTTGCCTTTCCTGCGTCAGCATAGTGGGTTAGAATGGATGGTTGGGGTGAGTAAGCCTCTCTTCAGCAGGCCATGCACCCCTCCTCCTCCTTCAACGCTGTTCTCACCATGCCCACACCATGCCCACACCATGCCCACACCATGCCCACACCATGCCCACACCATGCCCACACCATGCCCACACCATGCCCACACCATGCCCACACCATGCCCACACCATGCCCACACCATGCCCACACCATGCCCACACCATGCCCACACCATGCCCACACCATGCCCACACCATGCCCACACCATGCCCACACCATGCCCACACCATGCCCACACCATGCCCACACCATGCCCACACCATGCCCACACCATGCCCACACCATGCCCACACCATGCCCACACCATGCCCACACCATGCCCACACCATGCCCACACCATGCCCACACCATGCCCACACCATGCCCACACCATGCCCACACCATGCCCACACCATGCCCACACCGTGCCCACACCATGCCCACACCATGCCCACACCATGCCCACACCATGCCCACACCATGCCCACACCATGCCCACACCATGCCCACACCATGCCCACACCATGCCCACACCATGCCCACACCATGCCCACACCATGCCCACACCATGCCCACACCATGCCCACACCATGCCCACACCATGCCCACACCATGCCCACACCATGCCCACACCATGCCCACACCATGCCCACACCATGCCCACACCATGCCCACACCATGCCCACACCATGCCCACACCATGCCCACACCATGCCCACACCATGCCCACACCATGCCCACACCATGCCCACACCGTGCCCACACCATGCCCACACCATGCCCACACCATGCCCACACCATGCCCACACCATGCCCACACCATGCCCACACCATCATGCGCTGAAACCAGTTGCCCTAGTGTTACCTCCAGTGCTTGAAGCATATACTCCCGACAGTACATTCCCCTTATTTTCTAATTGCCTCCCTCCTTGTTATGTCACTGTCCCCAGGCGCTGATGTAGGTGGATGCCCAGACAAAGGTGACTTTTGAGTCGACTCAAAAGTCACCGCGCTGATGTAGCTGGATGCCCAGACAAAGTTAACACTGCTGTGCATGCCACGTCATCACTGATTCCTATCTTGCACTCCCTCTCTCCTCTTCCTTGCCCAGGCACTGAAAGAGCTGGACGTGTTCGAAGCAGACGACATTGACACTGCTGTGGATGCTCTTCACTCCACAGTGGAAGAGGTGAGCCCTGCACTGCACTGTACCGCACCACTCTGCACTGCACTGCACTGCACTGCAATGCACCACGTTGCACTGCACTGCACAATCTTTTAGATGCTCTTCACGCCGCACCACACAGTGCAAGAGACGAGCCATTTTCTAGATGCTAACCCGCATGATCCATGAATTTGTGTCCCTCCCCACGTTTCCCCACCTGCCTCTTCTGTACCCACGAACCACACCCCCTTTTTCAGATGACCATAGAAAAAGCTCCTCATGATCATAGAGATGGCTTCTCAGGGCTCCACTGCTCCCCATCCATCACTCACACGCCATTGTCCCTTCCTTCCCAGTCTCCTTATCCCATGCTTTCTTCCTTCAGATGATCATGAATAAGCTCCTCATGTTCGTCGAGATGCGTCTCAGGGCCCCACTGCTCCCCGTCCAAAGAGCTGTCCTTAACATCACCCTGAATCCTCCCCCCCACTCTCCACCCCCCCTTCCACAGATGACCGTCAAGAAGCTCCTCGTGTTCATAGAGATGGCCTCTCAATTCCCCACTTCTCCACTTTAAGAGAACATCAGCACTGTCCCTCTTCTGTCTCTCCTCATGTCTCTCTCCATCCCCTTCCCCCATTCCATGCCCATCCCCCTTCCCTTCAGATGACCATCAAGAAGCTACTCATGTTCATAGAAATGGCCTCTCAAGGCTCCACTGCTGCCCATCCATAGAGCTGTCCTTAACATCACCCTAAATCCCACCCTCCATCCCCATTCATCAGATGACCATCAAGAAGCTCCTCATGTTCATAGAGATGGCCTCGCAAGGCACCACAGCCCCTGGGCAGCCCAGACCCAAGATTGACATCGGCTTCCTGTGCGAATGCCTCAAGGACTTGTCATAGGGTTAGCAGATGTGTGAAGGGAAAAGGGAAAAGGGAAGGGGTGAGAGAGGTTATACGTGATTGAACGAAGCCCGGTCAGCCCAGACCCAAGTTCGACATCGGCTTCCTGTGCGAATGCCTCAAGGATTTGTCATAGAGTTAGCAGTTGAGGGGAGGCGGATGGGGCTTCATGTGGGTGATTGACCACTGCTCCCAGTCATCCCAGACCCAAGATCGACATCGGCTTCCTGTGCGAATGCCTCAAGGACCTATTGTAGGGTTAGCAGATGGCAGATGTGTGGGGGGGGGGAGGAGGGGGGATGGGGGGTGGGGGAGGGGGGGAGGCAGGGCTGATTTTATCAGGGTAATTACCCTAATTTCAGGGTGATTACAGGCTTCTCACCTGGTGAACCCTGCAATTTCAGAATTTCTGACTTGTGAACTCTGATCCATTCAGAATATTGCTTTAGCGAACCCTGAAATATTGTATCAAGGCTCAGAGTAGTGTTCTTACTGACTCTGTCAATGTAGAGTACGCGTTCTGTGGACTCTGAATCTGACCTTATCGGTAGGAAGTTTCTCGGAACTTTCGTTCCAATTATCCCCCTTCGAATTGATCGCAGTACAGCCAGCATGTGAGCGACGGAAAGCAGCATGTCTGACAGGTGAGTACACTAGATGTTTATTACTTTCACAAAGTCGGAATAAGTTGTTGTACTGTCGTTATTGCGTGTGCGTGAAGTTACCAGCACTTTTTTGCGTTTGGTACAGCGATGTTGACGACGTTTAGGTACTCGGCGAATTAAGAATTTGGTCTGTGGTATCGAATCGAAATGTTTTGTTGACCAAAATCGCTCATCTCTTCCCCGCACATAAACGAATGGAAAAATAAACTATTTTGTTAAACTAAACGGTTAGGAATTAGCGCGCTCACAGTGTGCGCGAAACACAGAGCGCACTTTACGCAGAGCAATACTTTTCCCCTGTAATAAAGATCGCGTTACTACTTCGAACTTCGATTTTCGACCCTGAACAATCAGAGTTATATACTTTTCAACCCTAAGCAATCAGGATAGCATCATTCTGAAAAATGTGCACTCATAATCGAGGGGAAATTTTTTTCTCGGAATCAGGGGGGCCTAATATGAAACTTCAGCCCTGGGGGGAGGTGAGGGGTACGTATGTGACTGACGTGTTGGGCTGAGATACCTTAACATGACGAATGACCAGGCAGTCCAGCCCAGGCCCAAGATTGACATTGGCTTACTGTGTGAATGCTTCAAGGATCTATCGGTAAATCTGGTCATTGACGGGGGGAAAAGAAGGGGTTGGGGGGTATGTGGGTGACTGTCCTGTCCACTGTTCCCGGGCAACCCAGACCTAAGATCAACATTGGCTTCCCATGCGAATGCCTCGAGTTAACCTTTACTTCTTCCAGTGCTGCTTTTTTACCTATCCTGAACCCTAATGAGGACCTTAAACATTGCCTTGTGGAACTTCTCAGATGGCATAGGCAGAGAGGTATGCTGATATCAGCTAAAAAATTACAGTTTTAGGGTGGATCTTTTTCGTTCGTTTGAATGCGGCTCAATGAGTTGTTCCACGTTCTGCATCGGTCAAATCAATGTTCAGACTGGTCGGGATGGGTATTGAGCAGAAATGAAATGAAAATGACGCGCCCTTACAGTTCAAAAATCATAGAGGCAAGCACACTGTTTTCCTTGCCGTCTCCATATTCACAAGCTGCTGTTCTATAATAGCTCTCCCTCCTGGCTCATCATTCCTAAGAAACCCTTAAGTAACAGTCCACTGCCACAATCCTCCCCTTGGCATTGTTGCTCTTCCCTGTCACCCGTTCCTTCACTCTTTCTTTCTTCCGCTCCGCATTCAATCCTCTCTACCCCCTCCACTTTGTCAGACACACAATAACCCAGCTTGCCCCGCTCTTCCCCAGCTCTCGTTCCTGTCTACACCACTCGTCCGACTAACCATCTCGTGTGCCCCAACCGCATCGCCCATTCAATCCTCTCTACCCCCTCCACTGTGTCAGACACACAACAACCCAGCTTGCCCCTCTCTTCCCCAGCTGCCGTCAAAACACCCCTTCCGCCTCCAACACTCGTCCGAGTAACCATCTCGTGTGCCACAACCGCATAGCACATTCGCACCAGCAAGCAGGCCAGCAGCGATCCCAAGGGCCATGTTGGGGAAGAGGAGCGACAGGGAGAGGTGGAAGAGGGCGAAGAGAAGAGGGCTTTTGAGACGTCTCAAAATACAACCTTTATCACGTGGGAGAGGTGGAAGAGGGCGGAGAGGGCTGCAGACAGCATGGCAGAGTCGATCCTGAGGGAGAGAAAGGCAGGACAGGGTATAGTGAAAGGAGGAAAGAGGGGAGGAATGAAGGAGAGACGATATCAAATGAGTGAAGATAGGAAAGAAGAGTGAAATTGGATTGATGCGAGAGAGTGTGGGCCATGGGAATGGAGGAACTTATCAAACCCAGCTAGACGGTTGCATTGGAGCCTTTTAACACCTCACTACCGGGCCTCCTGCTAAGCCTCTCACCTGCCGAGCCTCTCTATGGAAATGGAGGAACTTATCAACTTCAAAAAGATAGTTGCATTGGAGCTTTTTAAACCTCCCTTCCAGGCCTCCTGTTAAGCCTCTCACTCACCTGCCGCGATTCTCTTGCAGGGCTGTGATCAGCAGTGCTCTGTACAACAGCTCCTCTGCTACAGCCGAGCACACCACCACCCACAGGAACTGTAGAAGGTCCAGCAGGGCGACGGCCACAGCAGCTGTAGCAGCCACATCCCCGCCGGTCCCATCCAGCAGCAACAAAGGAGGACATAACAACAGGGATGTAGCACTCACGCTATCCCCTCCTCCTCCTCTTGCTGCTCCTGCTCCTGCTACTGCTGCTGCTGCTGTTAGCTCTGGTAATCCCCCTCCCCCCTCCCCTCCAGCTCTAGTTTTGAGAGAAACGCAGTCCCGTAGAACAGGACCCCCCACCGCCCCTGCCACAATCGCTTTCCACCAGCTATCGTTTCCCCCCGTTAACGCTCCCTCTCCCCATTTCCGGAAGATTGGCCCTACAGTGTGACCCCAAACTTCTCCTCGAACTGCTTGTCTGAACAGTGGAGAAACTTCCGCAAGCACACTGCTTTCCTTGACTCTTGAGAAGTCTCTAAAGTTGACCCCTCCACTCCCTCCACTTGATATAGAAGTGAGGAAACAGAACCCACTTTGCTCCTTTGTTTGCCAGCTTCATTTGAAACGCCCCTCCTGTCTCCACTCCTCCGATTAGCCACCTCGCGTGCCACAACCACATAGCCCGTGCGCACCAGTGCCACATGCCGCGGTCTGATTCGCCGGTCCAAACTGTACCCAAGAAGGAATGGCAAGGCAAGCACCTCCATTATAGAGAGCCCCATGTCCCGTTTGAAGTACTCCAGCTTGGGCTTCAAGTTTGCTTTCCAACTGTAATAGATAGACGTCGGGTACCTCACAACCAGATCCACCACCAACCGTTGAGCCATACATCTCTCGACACTTAGTGCTCGGGAAGTAATTTCCCCTGCCAAACATTTACCTCTATCACCTTCACCCAACCTTTGCCTCCCATTTCTCTCTCCTCCACTGCTCTCCAATGCCTCTTCCACTTCTCGCACAAGCTCTCTGAAACTTTCCTTCAGGCCATCTTCACTAGACGCCAGTAGCAAAGGAAATTGTGTCACCACCCGCACAGCATTCTCTCGGCCAATCAAATCAGCCAATACCGCCACCTTGCCTTGCACGTTCTCCTTTGAAAGTTGCAGAACCACTGGATGACTCCTCGCCACTCTTCCTGCTGCCTGCTTCCCCACCAGCTCCACAAAGAACTGGAGCTTAGCTAAGAGAGTTTCTGAGCTGAGACAGACGATGGTGGGGGCACGCTGAAGCACATTGGTCGCAATGTTGGGAGTGCCTGGAGGAGTGAAGGACTGGAGAATGGCAATATTCTCCGCCATGCGATACGGAGGAGCAGAGAAGATGACCGGACAGCTCAGGATAAGCTTGCTTAAGCGGTTCTTGTCCAGATGCGGCTCATTCAGTTGCTGCTTCAAGAGGCTTGTGCTGGTGCTATCTGTTTCCACCTTCCCTCCAAACTCCGCCGTGAAATAAGCTGATAGCATCTGAAGCTGAGTATTCACTGCCTCGTTACTCCGAGTCAAGATGGACGGATATTTCTCTATCACCACACCCACCTTGTCCACAGGAACCCCTGCTTTTTCCACCAGAATGTCCAGGTTCGTTGAACGAGCCTCGGAACAGATTAAGCCCTGTCCGTGCAGGAGCACAAAGCCCAGTCTGCTACGGCGGACGCCTTGAGCCAAAAGAAACTCAAGGGTGTTTTGAATCTGTGGCAGGGAGACTCGGAGCCAGGCTGGTTCCCTCACAGTGATGCGCACGATGTCGGCATTAGATATGCCGTATGACTGGAGGAGACGGACACGTGGCAGCAAGTCATTGGTGGCATTGGAGCGGAGGAGTTGGGGCTTGGAGGTGAGGAGGGAAGCGACAGTGGAAGGGGAGGAGATGCCGAGGTGGGAGGAGAAGAAGCGGTAGAGGGAGAGGAGGGAGGAGGGAGATACGACCCGCGGGCTGTTGAGTGGAGGAGGGCGTGTGGGAGGAGATGTGGTGGGTGGTGCGTCCTCCTCACACGCTTCTGCTTCTGCTTCCTCCTCCCCCTCCTCCTCATCGCCCCCCTCCTCCTCATTCACTATCCCCACTTCGTCCTCGCTGCTTCCTAACCTACTCCCCCACTCCTCCAACTCCTCTCTAACAATCTGAGGCCCGAATCTCTCCCTCAGCACTCCAGCAATCACTGCCACTGCCTCCTCCTCCTCCTCCTCCTCCTCCTTGCAGGCCCCCGTCCCGTAGCTCTTCCTCCTGCCTCCCTCACTCATCCTCGCTGCATTCCCCGGTACGACCCTCTCAACCCTCGCATCCCCACCTTCCTTTTTTTCCTTTCCGCTTTCCTGATGCGCCTCTGACCTCTTCTCCCATCCCCCCTCTCCTCGTCCTTCACTGTTCGCGTTTTCAACTCTTTTTGCACCGCTATTAAAGGCTTGCTTCTGGGAAGTGGTTTCGACCCAGAGATAGAAGTCTCCGCCTCGAAAGCTTCTGCATCTGCTGGACTGGAAGACGCACCAGCGCCGGACCATGCGGCGAAGCTTCGGACTCGGGATGATAAGTTCTCTTGAGGCGACTCGAAGCTTCGGAATGGGTTGCGGATTTGAAAAGACGCGATTCGCGCAGGTTCGTTTCGATCCGATCCAATCCGATCGAAGCTTGTTAAGGAAGGAACCGAAGATCGCGATGCTATTCGGTGCGTTTGCGATGTCCCACGAGAAATATATCTGAAAATCCGATCTACGAATGGCTGTGACGTATGCGGTAGGACTAGCCATAGCGATCGGCGAGCTGATCTACGCGAGGCGGCGTAGAAGTTCATGATTTCGTTGATGATCTCGTTGCATTCGTCGAATTCGTCTAATCCGTCCAACTCGTGTATGCCTGAACTCTCGCTGACCTTGGCTGGCTGGCGACGTGAAACGTGAAGTCAGCTTCGCGTGCACGGATTAGAGAATCGATGCCTGAATATTATTTCAATGATGATTGATGCATCGAGCGCTATTTAGCTAGAATAGCTATCTAGCTTCATCTATCCCGCATCTAGCTAGCTTCAACTATCCGGCACCTAGCTGCTCCATGACGGGCGATTCCCTCATTCAATTTTGGAAACCTGGGTTCCTTGGGGTTACCAATGAGACGAGTGTGACGATCACAAGGGTCAATCGGTGCAGCTTGATATGGTGCTGTGCGTTTACAAACTTTCAAATAGGTATACGGAGTGGTAGCAGGTGCCAAGCGAAGGCCCTGGGGATTGGCGAGAACTTCTCGCCTAAGCTTGAGATTTGACCGAACGAAAGGAGCTCCGCTCCGAAGCTGTTTTCGCCAGACAATGTAACCGTGGTTGCTGCCCAGCGAAAGATTCAAAGCTGATGCTAGGCAATGGAGCTCCAAGCTCCCTGCCGCTGGGTGGCGGGAGTTTCACCTCGGGAAAAGCAGCGTTTCGGTATAAGGTAAGTTGAATTTTTGTATCTCATCACCTTGATGAGTATGGTATGTGAGTTCTTTCATCCCACTCATCTTAAAAACACATGGTGTGGATTGTGCACCCATCAGGATATTTGTGGGCTCGTCAAACGCGTGTTCACACTGTTCCATTTACACAGTCAACGTCGCTATCTTGGAGAAGTGACACGGAACATCCAGACACCATGGTCCATACCAACTTGGAGGCACGAACCAGATTGGTCCCGCTGGTGCGGCAGTTGGGCATTGTCCAGCCAGATTTTTTTCCTGTTTTCAGAATGTTACACACCTGCGAAGGAACCAGGTCTTTGTACTAACCAGCTCTTTGCCTGCTAGACAGAAGCAATCGTCGCAGCCATGAGTGCGTAGATTAGAGCAGAAGCGTTGTAAGTGGTATGCAGAGCGACAGCTGGCAAGACGCTTTTGGAGTAGACAGCGAGCAGGCTGGCGGCAATCCCAAGGGCCATGTTGGGGAAGAGGAGGGCGAGGGAGAGGTGGAAGAGGGCTGCAGACAGCATGGCAGCGTCGATCCTGGGGGGAAACAGGGAGAAAAGGGGAGAGAGGCAGGGAAGGGGAGAGAGGCAGGAAAGGGGATAATGCAGGGAGGAAAGGAGGGGAACACAAGAAAGACGATATCAAGCGTGTGGGGATAAGAAAGAACGAGTGACATCGGATTGATTAGAGAGTATGGGCCATGAAAATGGAGGAAGTTCTCAAACCAGAAACAAGGTGGTAGCAGTAAGCCCTTGCCAACCTCATTACCGAGCCTCCTGCCAACCTCTCACCTGCCGAGCCTCTCTTGTAGTGTCGTGAACAGCAGCCCTCTGAACAGTAACTCCTCTGCTACAGCCGGTGACACCGCCACCCACAGGAACGGCTGTAGCACGTCCAGCATGCCTGCCCCCATGCCTGCCAGTATGCCTGCCCTCATGCCTGCCCCCATGCCTGCCAGTATGCCTGCCCCCACGCCTGCCCCATGCCTGCCCCCATGCCTGCCCCCACGCCTGCCCCATGCCTGCCCCCATGCCTGCCCCCACGCCTGGCCCCAAGCCTGCCGTCATGCCTGCCGTCGTCCTCACATGGCCTCCCGTGTTGTCAAGCCCCAAAACCAGTCAACTCTCACCTGCCAAGCCGTCCCTCCCCCTCTCTTATCTGCAACCCCCCCCTTCCCCCACCACCCCTGCAGGTCTAGAAGCATCTTCCACACAAACCTAAACGGCTTCCAAACCCTATCCCGCATCTCCCTTGGCCAAGGGAAACCCTCTCCCGCATCTCCCTGCAGGCAACTTCGACCCCATGCCCGCCCTCGCCATCTCATCCACCCACCTCCTCACTCTCATAATATCCGCATCCCCTCACCACCACCACCCCAGGTCTGCAAACATCTTTCAGGACGACATACATCTTTCACACGGACCTGAACGGTTTTCAGACGGTGAGGAGGGAAACACTCGCCCGCATTCCCCTGCAAGCCAACTTCTACCCCATGCCCGCCCTCTCCTTCTCATGCGCCATGCTTAATGCCCCATGTCCCATGCCCCATGCCTGTCAAATATACCCCATTCCCGCCCTCTCCTACTCATGCCCCATGCCCCATGCCCCATGCCTGTCTCATATACCCCATGCCTTTCCCTTCAGGTCTGCAACATCTTTCACACGGACCTGAACGGTTTTCAGATGGTGAGGAGGAAAACGTTCGCCCGCATTCCCCTGCAGTTCCACTTCTACCCCATGCCCGCCCTGGCCTTCCTGCAACACCCCTCGGGCCTGCGCTTCTCTGTTCACACTCGCCAAGTCATGGGCGCTGCCAGTCTCAAGGTGAGCTCTTCTTCCCAACACTTGCTTTCACCACAGGGCTCCCCTCTCCCCTCACACCCCTCTGCCTGCCACCCCACGCCCACTTCTACCCCATGCCCGCCCTGGCCTTCCTGCAAGACCCCTTGGGCCTGCGCTTCTCTGTTCACACTCGCCAAGCCATGGAGTTTGCCAGTCTCAAGATGAGACCTCCCTTGCCCGCCTTCTTAACGTCATTTAATCCTTGGCCTGGCTATGTGCATAACAGCTTCTCCTCACCATTTGTTTTTAAAAGATTCTAAAAGAACTGGTCTCGCTATGTGCTTAACAGCCTCTCCTCACCGTGCCCTCCTCCCCCTCCTTCCCCCTATCCTTCTCTCCTCCTCCCTCTTCTACTTCCCAATCCTGGAAGAGATGGTATTGGATCAGCGGCTGAACCAGGACGATGGGAGGGTGCTCGCACAGGGAGTGTCTGTTAATTGCCCGTTGCTCTCCCTCCTCTCCCGCCTCCCCTCCTCCCCTCCCCTCTTCTCTTCACCTCCCCTCCTCCCCACCAGAGTGGTTGATTAGAGATGGCATTGGATCGGCGGCTGAACCAGGACGATGGGAGGGTGCTCGCACAGGGAGTGTCTGTTAATTGCCCGTTGCTCTCCCTCCTCTCCCGCCTCCCCTCCTCCCCTCCCCTCTTCTCTTCACCTCCCCTCCTCCCCACCAGAGTGGTTGATTAGAGATGGTATTGGATCGGCGGCTGAACCAGGACGATGAAAGGGGCCTGAACTCAAGGAGTGTCTAACAACCGACCCCTGCTCTCCCTCCTCCACCTCCTTCTCGAAGCCAACACCTCCTCTCGCCCCCCCCACCTCCCCCTCTTCCTGCTGTCCCCTCAAACCATCCCTCCTCTCCCACCGCGTCTCTTCTCGACTTAACTACCCGCCCGTTCTTTTCATCAGGCTACCCGAAAATTCCTCGGCTGTAGCAGTGGCGGCTGTAGCAGGTCCAGCAGACGGAGGGATGCGGCGGCTGTAGCAGAGGTAGTTGTAGCAGCCACATCCCTGCCGGTCCCATCTGGCAGCAACAAAGGTCCCAGCGACAAGGGTGTGGCACTCACACTATCCCCCCCTCCTATTCGTGCCGCTCCTGCTCCTGCTCCTCCTGCTCCTGCTACTGCTGCTGCTAGTTCTGGTAATCCCCTCCTCTCTCCCCCCCAGCACCAGTAGAAAAATCAAAACTGGAGAGAAAAGCAGAGCTCATAAATAGGTCCCTCCGCAGCCCCTGCCGCGATCGCCTTTTACCAGCTATTGTCCCCCCCCCCCCCCGCTAACACTCCCTTCTCCCCGTCCCAAACCCCCCCACAGTGGTTGATGCAATGGCAAGTTCTGCAGAGAGGGGCTAATGTGGAGACACACACACCGACATCAGGCATTGGCGCACACCCCTCTCACTCACCCAGGCATGGACTTTGAAGCCCAGGCACACTGGAAACCGAAGAAGCCTATCAGCACCAGCCCTACAGTTTGACGCCAAACTTCTCCTCGAATAGCTTGTCTGTACAGTGGAGAAACTGCTGCAAGCAAATTATCTTCTTTGTCGCCTCCAAATTCACAAGCTTCTGCTCTGTAGCAGCTCTCCCCCCTGGCTCGCTCGTTCTTTCACCCTTTGTTTCTTCCGCTCCCCATCCACTCCTTTCCGCTCCCTCCACTTCAGACACAGAACCCAGCTTGCTCCTCTCTTTTGAGGCGCCTCAAAAGCTTGCTCCTCTCTTCCCCAGCATCAATTAAAACACCCTTCCTGCCCCCAACACTCGGCCGAATAACCATCTCGTGTGCCACAATCGCATACCCCATTCGCACCAGCGCCACATGTCGCGGTTTAATCCGCCGATCCAAACTGAACGCAAGAAACTGAGGGTAAGCAAGAACCTCCATTATAGAAAGGCCCATGTCCCGTTTTAAGTACTCCACCTTGGGCTTCAGATTCTCTTTCCAGCTACAATGGATCGAAGTCGGGTACTTCACCACCAAATCCACTACCAACTCACGAGCCCTATATTTTTTGTCACCTGCAGCTGAGCTAAACACTCGAAACTCATTCCCTGCTTCCCATGAACTACCATTTTCGCCTTTCACCAACCTTTGCGTTCCACTTCCCTCTTCTCCACTTCTCTCCAGTGCCTCTTCCACTTCTCGCACAAGCTCTCTAAAACTTTCCCTCATGACATCTTCACTAGAAGATAATATCTTAGGAAATAGTGCCACCACCCGCACAGCATTCTCTCGGCCAATCAAATCAGCCAATACTGCCACCTTGCCTTGTACATTCTCCTTCGATAAATAAAGAACCTGCGAGAAGCTCCTAACTATTCTTCCTGCTGCCTCCTCCCCCACCAGCTCCACAAAAAACTGGAGCTTAGCTAAGAGAGTTTCTTTGCTGAAACCAAGGATGTTGGGGGCACGACGAAGCACAGGGCTCGCAATGGAGGGCGAGCCTGGGGGAGTGGAGGACTGGAGTATGGCGATATTCTCTGCAATGTGATACGGAGAATATGCGATAATGACTGGAAAGTTCAAGACAAGCCTGCTAAGGTGGCTCTTGTCCAGATGAGGCTCATCTAGTCGCTGCTTCAGGGGGCCTGTACTGGTGGTATCCGCTTTCTACCTTCCTTCCAGATTTTGCCTTGAGATAGGCTGATAGCATCTCAATCTGCGCATTCACCGTCTCTTTGCTCCGAGTCAAGATGGCCGGCCATCTCTCTATAATCACACCCAGCTTGTCCACAGGAACCCCTGCTCTCTCCACCAGAATGTCCAGGTTCGTTGAACGAGCCTCACAGCAGAGTAAGCTTCGTCCACGTCTAAGCACCAAGCCTAATCTGCTACGGCGGACGCCAAGAGTCAAAAGAAGCTCAAGGCTGTTTCGAATCCGTGGCAGGGGGGATCGGAGCCAGCGTGCACCTATCTCAGTGATGTGGAGGATATCGGCATGAGATATGCCATATGACTGGAGGAGGCGGACACGTGGCAGGAAGTCATTGGTGGGATTGGAGCGGAGCAGTTGGGGGTGGGAAGCGAGGAGGGAAGCGACAGTGGAAGGGGAGGAGATGCCGAGGTGGGAGGAGAAGAAGCGGTAGAGGGAGAGGAGGGAGGAGGGAGATACGACCCGCCGGCCGTTGAGTAGAGGAGGGGGCGTGGGAGGAGATGTGGTGGGTGGTGCGTCCTCCTCACACGCTTCTGCTTCTGCTTCCTCCTCCTCCTCCTCCTCCTCCTCGCCCCCCTCCTCCTCATTCACTATCCCCACCCCCTCTTCGTCCTCGCTGCTTCCTATCCCACTCCCCCACGCCTCCACCTCCTCGCTCACAATCTGAGGCCCGAATTTCTCCCTCAGCACTCCAGCAATCACTGCCACTGCCTCCTCCTCCTCCTCCTCCTCCTCCTTGCAGGCCCCCGTCCCGTAGCTCTTCCTCGTGCCTCCCTCACTCATCCTCGCTGCATTCCCCGGTACGACCCTCTGCAACCTCGCATCCCCACCTTCATTTTTCCCCTTTCCGCTTTCCTGATGCGCCTCTGCCCTCCTCTCCCATCCCCCCTCTCCTCGTCCTTCACTGTACGCGTTTTCAACTCTTTTTGCACCGCTATTAAAGGCTTGCTTATGGGAAGTGGTTTCGACCCAGAGATAGAAGTCTCCGCCTCGAAAGCTTCTGCATTTGCTGGACTGGAAGACGCACCAGCGCCGGACCATGCGGCGAAGCTTCGGACTTTGGATGAAAAGTTCTCTTGAGGCGCCTGGAAGCTCCGGTATGGGTTGCGGATTTGAAAAGACGCGATTCGCGCAGGCTCGTTTCGATCCGATTCAATCCGACCGAGGCTTGTTAAGGAAGGAATCGAAGATCGCGATGCTATTCGGTGCGTTTGCGATGTCTCACGAGCAATATATCTGAGAATCCGATCTACGAATGGCTGTGACGTATGCGGTAGGACTAGCCATAGCGATCGGCGAGCTGATCTACGCGAGGCGGCGTAGAAGTTCATAATTTCGTTGATTTCGTTGCATTCGTCAAATTCGTCGAGATCTTCGTGAATGCCTGGACCCTCGCTGACCTTGGCTGGCTGGCGATGCGAAACGAGAAGTCAACTTCGCGTGAACGGATTAGAGAAGCGATATCTGAATATTACTTCACGGATGATTGATGTGCCTCGAGCTCTTATTTAGCTAGAATATCTATCTAGCTTCAACTATCAGCACCTATCCAGCTGCCCCATGACGGGCAATTCCCTCGGATTCAATTTTAGAAACCTGGGTTCCTCGGAGCTACCGACGAGACGAGTGTGACGATCACAAGGGTCAAGCGGTGCAGCTTGATCAGGTGCTATACGTTTACAAACTGTCAAATAGGTATACGGAGTGGTTAAGCAGGTGCTAAGCGAATGCCCTGGGGATTGGCGAGAACTTCTCGCCTAAGCTTGAGATTTGACCGAACGAAAGGAGCTCCGCTCCGAAGCTGTTTTCGCCAGATAATGTAACCGTGGTTGCTACCCAGCGAAAGATTCAAAGCTGATGCTAGGCAATGGAACTCCAAGCTCCCTGCCGCTTGATGGCGGGGAGTTTTACCTCGGGAAAAGCAGCGTTTCGGTATAAGGTAAGTTATAATCTTGTATCTCATCGCCTTTATGAGTATGGTATGTGAGCTCTTTCATCCCACTCATCTTGAATACACATGCTGAGGATATTTGTGGGCTCGTCAAACGCGTGTTCACACTGTTTCATTTACCCAGTCAACGTCGCTATCCTGGAGAAGTGACACGGAACATCAGACACCACGGTCCATACCAACTTGGAGGCACGGACCATATTGGTCCCGTTGGTGCAGTAGTTGGGCATTGTCCAGCCAGAATCGTTTCCTGTTTCCAGGATGTTCCACACCTGTGAAGGAACCAGGTCTTTGTACTAACCAGCTCTTTGCCTGCTAGACAGAAGCAATCGTCGCAGCCATGAGTGCGTAGATTAGAGCAGAAGGATCTAAAGTGGTATGCAGAGCGACAGCTGGCAAGTCGCTATTGGAGTAGACAGCGAGCAGACCGGCGGCAATCCCAAGGGCCATGTTGGGGAAGAGGCGGGCGAGGGAGAGGTGGAAGCGGGCGAAGAGGGCTGCAGACAGCATGGCAGCGTCGATCCTGAGGGGAAACAGGGAGGGAAGGGGATAATGAAGGGAGGAAAGGAGGGGAATACAGGAAAGACGATATCAAGCGTGTGAGGATATGAAAGAACAGTGACATCGGATTGATGAGAGAAGTGTGGGCCATGAAAACGGAGGAAGACACTAAACCAGAAAGAAGGAGGTAGCAGTAAGCCCTTGCCAACCAACCTCATTACCGAGCCTCCTGCCAAGCTTCTCACCTGCCGAGCCTCTCTTGTAGGGCCATGAGCAGCAGCCCTCTGAACAGTAACTCCTCTGCTACAGCCGGCGACACCGCCACCCACAGCAACAGCTGTAGCGGGTCTAGCAAGGGGAGGGCTGCAGCGGCTCTAGCAGAGGCAGCTGTAGCAGCCACACCCCCTCCGGTCCCATCTGGCAGCAACAAAGGACATATCAACAGGGATGTAGCACTCACGCTATCCCTGCCTCCTTCTATTGCTGCTCCTGTTCCTGCTGCTGCTGATAGATCTGGTAGTCCCCCTCCCCCCTCTCCTCCAGCACCAGTAGAGAATGCATAACTCAAGAGAAAAGCAGAGCCCATAGAATAGGTCCCCCTGCTGTTCCCCCTCCTCCCCTCCAGCACCAGTTGAAAAAAAACAAAACTAGAGAGAAAATCAGAGCCTATAGAATAGGTCCCTCTGCTGCCCCTGCCGCAATCACCTTCCATCAGCTATCATTTCCCTCGGTTAACACTCCCCTCTGTCCGTCCCCATTCCCCCCACAGTGGTTAATGCGATGGTGGTTTTTCTGAAGAGAAGGGCTAATGTGGAGAGGCACACACAGACATCAGGCACTGGTGCACACCCTCACTCTCAGGCATTGGCGCACACCATCACGCTCAGGGATGGACTCTGAGGCCCGGGCACACCGGAAGCCGAAGAAGCCAATCAGCACCAGCCCTACAGTTTCACCCCAAACTTCTTCTCAAACACCTTGTCTGTACAGTGAAGAAACTGGTGCAAGCACACCATTTTCCTTGCCGCATCCACATTCACACGCTGCTGTTTTGTAACAGCTGCCCCCTCTCCTCAATACCATCCTCCCCTTCGCACTGCTCCTCTTGCCTGTCACCGGCTTTTTCGCTCTTTCTTTCTCCCACTCCAGGTTCAATCCCCTCCACTCCCTCCACTTCGTCAGAACCCAGCTTGCTCCTCTGTTCCCCAGCTTCGATCGTAACATTCCTCCTGCCCCTAACCCTTGGCCGACTAATAATTTCGTGTGGCCCAACCTCATAGCCCATTCGCACCAGCGCCATATGCCGCGGTCTGATTCGCCGATCCAAGCTGTAACTAGCAAATTTCGGAAAAGCGAGCATTTCTACTATGGATAGCCCCATGTCTTGCTTTAAATATTCCACCTTGTGCTTCAAGTTTGCTTCCCAGCTGCAGTAGATAACCTGCGGGCACTTCACCACCAAATCCACAACTAACCGACGAGCCCTGTGTCTCTCGACGCCTTGAACTCCATACTCATTCTCCACTTCCAACCAATCACCTTCCCCACTTCCCTCTCTTCTACTGCTCTCCAATGCCTCTTCCACTTCTCGCACAAGCTCTCTGAAACCGTTTTTCATGTTATCTTCGTTAGATGACAGTACCAGGGAAAACTGTGCCACCATCCGCACAGTATTCTCCTGGCCAATCAAATCAGCCAACATTGCCACCTTGCCTTGCACATTCTCCTTTGATAGTTTAAGAACCTGTGGGAAGGTCCTCACCATTTTCCCTGCTGCCTCCTCCCCCACCAGTCCCACAAAGAACTGTAGCTTAGTTAAAATATTTTCTGCGGTAAAACTGAGGATGGTGGGGGCACGCTGAAGAACAGAGGTCGCAATGGAGGGGGTGCCTGGGGAAGTGAAGGACTGGAGGATGGCAATATTCTCTGCGATGCGATAGGGAGGAGTAGAGAGGATGGCTGGACACCTCAAGATAACCCTGCTTAGGTGGCTTGTGTCCGAATGCTGCTCACCCAGTCGCTGCTTCTGGTGGCTTGTGCTGGTGCTGACTGCTTCTAATTTCCCTCCAACTTCCACCTTAAAATAGGCTGATAACGTCTCAAGCTGAGTGTTCACCACCTCTTTCCTCCGAGTCAAGATGGCCGGACTTCTCTCTATAATCGCACCCAGCTTGTCCACGGGAATTCCAGCCTTTTCCACCAAAATCTCCAGGTTCGTTGAACGTGCCTCCCTGCAGAGTAAGCCTAGACCACGTCGGAGCACCGAGCCCAATCTGCTTCGGCGGACGCCTTGAGCCAAAAGGAACTCAAGGGTGTTCTGAATCCGTGGAAGGGAGACTCGAAGCCAGGCTGGATCTCTCACAGTTATGCGGACAATGTCGGCCTGAGAGATGCCAAACGATTGGAGAAGGCGGACACGTGGCAGGAAATCACTCGTGGGATCGGAACGAAGGAGTGAAGGTTGGGTGGCAAGAAGGGAAGCGACAGAGGAAGGGGAGGAGATACCGAGGTGGGAGGAGAAGAAGCGGTAGAGGGAGAGGAGGGAGGAGAGAGTGGTTGCACGTGTGTGGTGAGATGCGGTGCCTGGTGAACCCTCCTCACTCGCATCTGCTTCTGCTTCCTCCTCTTTCATTTCTTTGTCCATACCATCCTTCTTCTCCTGTGCCGCCGCTTCCTCTCCCTTCACCTCCTCAACCCCCCCATTCTCTCCGATTCCAGCCCCCTCCTCCACCTCTTCTCTCACAATCTGAGGTCCGTATTTCTTCATCAACACTTGAGCAATGACTGCCACTGCCTCCTCCTCCTCCTCGGATCCTCCTCCCTCTCTGCTCTTACTCCCGCTCCCTTCGCTTCTTGCTTTCGCTTTGCCTGCTTTCCTCCCACGCCTCTTACTTTCTATTTCCTTGGTTCCCCCCTGCTTTTCCTCTACAATCTTTACGCTCTCCTCCCCTTCTCTATCAGATCCAACATCCACTTTCTCCACACCACGCGCCACAAACTCCGCCCCAACGTTCGCCTTGTCATCGGCCGTCGGTTCAATTCTAAGGTTTGCGGCCTCCGTCTCGGGAAGAGTCTGATGGCAGGGAAGCGTTGATAGCATTGCACCTGATCGCAATGCTCCGGTCAGGAGTTCGAATCCTGACGAAGGATTTCCGTACAGAGTGATTCAATGGGCCGAATCCGAGCTGGTATGGGCTCGACCATGACGGAAAAGCAGATCTGAATGGATTCACGTGGTTCTTATCAAGCGATACGCAAGGACGCGTGTAGTCGAGGCTGCTGATCGACATGACTAACCGGGATGAAGGAACAACACACGCCATGGCGAACCTCGGAGGAATCAAATATACGATCAATGTCAAAGAGTCGCGGCTACACGGAGCGCTCCTAAACAGTATAACGCTTCAAGACCCTAGAAATATGAGAGACGCTCGTGTTCTTCGTGATCGACTATTCGTAAATCGTCTTGCCCAGACGAGCTCTCTGCCTCTTGCTCGTGCTGAGGAAGGAGGCAGGGCGAAGCGGCAGATGGATTGGATGCTGATCACAGTTGTGTCCCTGAACGGCAAGCTCTCGAGATTGACGAGAAGCGAGCTGAACCTCCCCGCGAGCGAGTGTGACCTTGAAAATTGGTGACAATTTTGAATTGTCACTTGAGGTTGTCACCTCGGAACTGTCAGTTGAAGTTGGCGACAATTCAGTTCGTTAGACTCGTATTTGTGAGGTCGTGTATTGTTGCAATTGCACTATATTCTCTATGTTAATTGGCTGGCTGGAATAGGTTTCAAGAAGACATACATACATAGAGCCTGATGATAAATATGTGTAGAATTTCGAGTTACATGTGACGGTTGATTAATCAAATATATTCTGAAATTGGATATGCATAATTTTGTTTACAATGTATTCTGGAACATATACATTCCAGGAAGAGACTAGCAGCCTCTTGTGCTAGACGGAAGGAGCAGCCGTTGCCATGAGTGCATAGAGAAGGGCAGATGCATTGTAAGTGGTATGCAGGGCGATAGCTGGCAGCACGCTATTAGAGTAGACAGCGAGCAGGCCGGCGGCAATCCCAAGGGCCATGTTGGGAAAGAGGAGGGAGAGGGAGAGGTGGAAGAGGGCGAAGAGGGCTGCAGAGAGCATGGCCGCGTCGATCCTGAGGGAGAGAGAGGGAAGAGGGAGGAGAGGTATCTGACAGCGATTGATTTGTTGACTTGCAATTACAACCATGGTTCACATTACCTTGGCTTCATTACTTAGATGTACCAAGAGTGGCAAGGGTAAGAGGAAAAGAACGAGTGCTGTTGCATTGATGGGAGCGAGGCTGGGCTTTGGAGAGTCGAGCGACTGCCCCATCAAGTTATTGGTGAAAGAACATTGTCAAGCCACACTACCCAGCCTCCTGCCAAGCCTCTCACCTGCCGAGCCTCTCTTGCAGGGCTGTGAGCAGCAGCCCTCTGAAGAGCAGCTCCTCTGCTACAGCCGGTGACACCGCCACCCACAGGAACAGCTGTAGCATGTCAAAAAGCGGTAAGGCCGTGGCAGCTGTAGCAGAGGCAGCTGTAGCAGCTACATCCCCTCCGGTCCCATCAGGCAGCAACAAAGGACCCAGCAACAAACCTGTAGCACTCACACTATCCCCTCCGCTTCCTCCTGCTGCTCCTATTCCTGCTGCTAATTCTGCTATTCCCCCGGCCGCCTCCCCTCCAGCACCTGTTTTGAGAGAAATTAAAGAGAAAAGCAGAGCCCAAAGAACAGGACCCCCTACAGCTCCTGCTACAATTGCCTTCCACCAGCTATCGTCTCCCCCCGCTAACTCTCCCCTCTCCCCGTCCCCCTTACCTCCCCGCTCCCCAGCTCTTCCCCCTTCCCCTCCGCCACTACCCCGCGAAAGTTGCAGCTTGAGTGTTGCGCGGAGGGGGAACCCGCGGTCGCGACACCAGGAGAGCGCGGGGAGGACGAAGAACAGCCATTGGACGAGCGCGAGCAGGAACGGCGCGGATTGCGGAGGCGCGGCGCGGAGGATCGGGCCCAGCGGAGAGAGGTCTATGAGCGCGATTAAGGCGATTAAAGACAGGCAGAACCAGGTGATGCCGTCTTGAAAGGAGGGGGAAGGCGGGGGGGAGGAGGGCGGGGATGGGGGGAGCGGAGTGCCGGGAGGGGGAGGAGCGGGGGAAGGGGGAGGCGGGGAAGAGGAGCTGGCGGAAGGGGATACGCGGAGTAAGACGCGGGAGGAGCTGACGGAGTTGTCGCGACTACTAGAGCGGCCCGCGAAGCGCGCGGGAAACGGAGGGGGAAGGCGAGTCTTCTCAGAAGGTATACGGCGACTAACGGCGCTACGGCCCGCGGAGGGCGCCGACGATGGGAACGTGGGAAGCCTAGCTGTTCCGAAAAGGTTAAGGGGGGTGCTACTGGTGCTAGGTCCCGCGAAGGGCGCGATAGAGCTAAGAGAACGGCAGTAGAATGTGGCCATAAGAGGCTCTTCTGCAGAGTCACTCTGGTATTTCGGAAATACGCAAGCGCCTTCGACGAAATGGTCGAAACTAGCGGCGTTTGATGTTTCGATAGGACGCGCCTTCGACGCGTGGAGACGCCTTTGACACCATGTCCTGACCTGACGGAGATTTTGACGGGATTTTCTCGTCCTGGTGGATGCAAGCATAAAAAATTCGCGCCATTCTCACTAGCCCCAGAATTATCCCAAGACAACGGCCTAGTAACGCGTATGGGAAAGTGCATGCATCATTCTAATCCCTTTGTAGTGCTACATTATAGTTGAATGAACATTTCAATATCGCCAATACAAGAGTCTGAGAAGTAATATTTGGGTTATGTTCTTATTATTTCTTGAAATATGTATATATATATATATATATATATCCCTGGCGTGGAAATTAAGCTCACATCTGTACATTGTAGTACACCCCAAATCCAACATGGATCAAAGCAATTCACCGATTTACCATGTGCGCAACATTTCCGCAAACCTCCATGATACAAACCTCATGTGCAAACTTTAGATTCAGAGACCTGGCTGTAGCAGCCACAGACCATGTGGGGTCCCGTGTTTCCCGCCGTCATTTTAGGAGGCGCCGTCTTTTACGTAGTTAAGCGGCTCGCCAGGCCGCGAAAGGCGCTGAGTCTTGAATGGGAGACTGGTCGGCGGAAAGCGCGGCAGCCGCACAAGAAGCCTCCCTCGTTCTACGTGAGTGTTCCTTTAGAAAGTCGGCGACTTATTTGATAACTGGTCCGTCAACTGGTCCGTCAGTTCGTCCGCCACGTCGTCCGTCAGTCTGTCCGTCACGTCGTTCGTCAGAGTCCGTCAGTGTCCGTCAAGTAGTCTGTCAGTCAGTACGATCGTCAAGCAGTAGGCAGAAATCACGGCAGCCGTACACGTCACCTTTCCGCCCCCCCTCTGTCCTTCCGTCTGTCAGTTCGTCCGTTCGCCCGTCCGTTCCTCGCCGAACACCCTGACCGCCCATTCCTCGATTTCCCCCCCTTCGTCTTCCCTCCGTCAGCACCCATTTCTACGGATCCATCGAACTAGTGATCCATACCCATTCTTTTGTCGTCTAGTCGACTCAAGAAACCATCCGTTCCCATTAAACGGAGTGACTCTGTGAACTAAATCAACTCACCAACGTGGAGCTGAGCTTTGAGGCGCCTCGAAAGTCGTCTAAATCAACTCAAGAACCTGGAGCTGAGCTGAGCCATTTTCAGAACATAGCTTTCCACACGCCCACGTGCTGAGCTGAGCTGAACGTGCTGCTTCTGATTCACACGGATGCCCACTGAATTTGCGTGGGGTGGAGCGGAGCTGACTTTCGAGTCAGACTCGAAAGGCATCGTACACCTTGGCTTTATCTCAAAAACACTGAGTGAATCTGCGTGAATTGAAGGAGCTGCTCACCAGCGAGTGTTCGTTACAATCAAAACAACACTCCCGCCCGCCCGTCTCATGCCTTTGCAGCATCGTCTCCCTGCTCCTTTTATTGGAACGGCACTCCTTTCCAGGCTGCGCATGACATTTCTTCAGCTGAGGAGTATTTTCATCAACTCACGGGGAGTCGAGCTCTTTACCAAAGAGTGGCTGCCCGGTGATGGATGGTTGAGAGGCGTGCTGTGGTGCTGCTCTGCCTTTTCATGCCCCTGCTTTTCCCTCCCACAGGCCGCACAAGGCGTGGCTTCATCCGAGGAATATTTTATCAACTCACGGGGCGTCGAGTTGTTTACCAAGGAGTGGCTGCCCAGTGACGGACGATTGAGGGGCGTGGTGCTGTTCTGCCATGGGTACGGGGAGACATGCACGTACATCTTTGAAGGTATGGGTCAGATGGGTATGGGGGTGTGTCCGTGGGTGCAGAACGGTGTGGGGTATGGTAACTCTCTGAGAGGCGTGGAGCTTTTCTGCCATGGGTACAGGGAGACGTGCACGTACATCTTTGAAGGTGGGAAATGGGTATGGATGTAGGGGGTGTGTGATCGTGTGCGTGTGGGTTGACAATGGTGGGGCACCGCAAGCCATTGAGAAGCGTGGTGCTGTTCTGCCATGGGTACGGGGAGACCTGCACATACATCTTTAAACGTATGGGCGGGTGCGGATGTTATCTGGGCCGTATGGATATGCAGGCAGCAGCAGGCTACGCACTGCTAGGAGTGGACCATGAAGGCCACGGGCTATCAGCTGGTCACCACGGGCTATCAGCTGGTCACCACGGGCTATCAGCTGGTCGCCACGGGCTATCAGCTGGTCGCCACGGGCTATCAGCTGGTCGCCACGGGCTATCAGCTGGTCGCCACGGGCTATCAGCTGGTCGCCACGGGCTATCAGCTGGTCGCCACGGGCTATCAGCTGGTCGCCACGGGCTATCAGCTGGTCGCCACGGGCTATCAGCTGGTCGCCACGGGCTATCAGCTGGTCGCCACGGGCTATCAGCTGGTCGCCACGGGCTATCAGCTGGTCGCCACGGGCTATCAGTTGGTCGCCACGGGCTATCAGCTGGTCGCCACGGGCTATCAGCTGGTCGCCACGGGCTATCAGCTGGTCGCCACGGGCTATCAGCTGGTCGCCACGGGCTATCAGCTGGTCGCCACGGGCTATCAGCTGGTCGCCACGGGCTATCAGCTGGTCGCCACGGGCTATCAGCTGGTCGCCACGGGCTATCAGCTGGTCGCCACGGGCTATCAGCTGGTCGCCACGGGCTATCAGCTGGTCGCCACGGGCTATCAGCTGGTCGCCACGGGCTATCAGCTGGTCGCCACGGGCTATCAGCTGGTCGCCACGCCACGGGCTATCAGCTGGTCGCCACGCCACGGGCTATCAGCTGGTCGCCACGGGCTATCAGCTGGTCGCCACGGGCTATCAGCTGGTCGCCACGGGCTATCAGCTGGTCGCCACGCCACGGGCTATCAGCTGGTCGCCACGGGCTATCAGCTGGTCGCCACGGGCTATCAGCTGGTCGCCACGGGCTATCAGCTGGTCGCCACGGGCTATCAGCTGGTCGCCACGGGCTATCAGCTGGTCGCCTCGGGCTATCAGCTGGTCGCCACGGGCTATCAGCTGGTCGCCACGGGCTATCAGCTGGTCGCCACGGGCTATCAGCTGGTCGCCACGGGCTATCAGCTGGTCGCCACGGGCTATCAGCTGGTCGCCACGGGCTATCAGCTGGTCGCCACGGGCTATCAGCTGGTCGCCACGGGCTATCAGCTGGTCGCCACGGGCTATCAGCTGGTCGCCACGGGCTATCAGCTGGTCGCCACGGGCTATCAGCTGGTCGCCACGGGCTATCAGCTGGTCGCCACGGGCTATCAGCTGGTCGCCACGGGCTATCAGCTGGTCGCCACGGGCTATCAGCTGGTCGCCACGGGCTATCAGCTGGTCGCCACGGGCTATCAGCTGGTCGCCACGGGCTATCAGCTGGTCGCCACGGGCTATCAGCTGGTCGCCACGGGCTATCAGCTGGTCGCCACGGGCTATCAGCTGGTCGCCACGGGCTATCAGCTGGTCGCCACGGGCTATCAGCTGGTCGCCACGGGCTATCAGCTGGTCGCCACGGGCTATCAGCTGGTCGCCACGGGCTATCAGCTGGTCGCCACGGGCTATCAGCTGGTCGCCACGGGCTATCAGCTGGTCGCCACGGGCTATCAGCTGGTCGCCACGGGCTATCAGCTGGTCGCCACGGGCTATCAGCTGGTCGCCACGGGCTATCAGCTGGTCGCCACGGGCTATCAGCTGGTCGCCACGGGCTATCAGCTGGTCGCCACGGGCTATCAGCTGGTCGCCACGGGCTATCAGCTGGTCGCCACGGGCTATCAGCTGGTCGCCACGGGCTATCAGCTGGTCGCCACGGGCTATCAGCTGGTCGCCACGGGCTATCAGCTGGTCGCCACGGGCTATCAGCTGGTCGCCACGGGCTATCAGCTGGTCGCCACGGGCTATCAGCTGGTCGCCACGGGCTATCAGCTGGTCGCCACGGGCTATCAGCTGGTCGCCACGGGCTATCAGCTGGTCGCCACGGGCTATCAGCTGGTCGCCACGGGCTATCAGCTGGTCGCCACGGGCTATCAGCTGGTCGCCACGGGCTATCAGCTGGTCGCCACGGGCTATCAGCTGGTCGCCACGGGCTATCAGCTGGTCGCCACGGGCTATCAGCTGGTCGCCACGGGCTATCAGCTGGTCGCCACGGGCTATCAGCTGGTCGCCACGGGCTATCAGCTGGTCGCCACGGGCTATCAGCTGGTCGCCACGGGCTATCAGCTGGTCGCCACGGGCTATCAGCTGGTCGCCACGGGCTATCAGCTGGTCGCCACGGGCTATCAGCTGGTCGCCACGGGCTATCAGCTGGTCGCCACGGGCTATCAGCTGGTCGCCACGGGCTATCAGCTGGTCGCCACGGGCTATCAGCTGGTCGCCACGGGCTATCAGCTGGTCGCCACGGGCTATCAGCTGGTCGCCACGGGCTATCAGCTGGTCGCCACGGGCTATCAGCTGGTCGCCACGGGCTATCAGCTGGTCGCCACGGGCTATCAGCTGGTCGCCACGGGCTATCAGCTGGTCGCCACGGGCTATCAGCTGGTCGCCACGGGCTATCAGCTGGTCGCCACGGGCTATCAGCTGGTCGCCACGGGCTATCAGCTGGTCGCCACGGGCTATCAGCTGGTCGCCACGGGCTATCAGCTGGTCGCCACGGGCTATCAGCTGGTCGCCACGGGCTATCAGCTGGTCGCCACGGGCTATCAGCTGGTCGCCACGGCCACGGGCTATCAGCTGGTCGCCACGCCACGGGCTATCAGCTGGTCGCCACGGGCTATCAGCTGGTCGCCACGGGCTATCAGCTGGTCGCCACGGGCTATCAGCTGGTCGCCACGGGCTATCAGCTGGTCGCCACGGGCTATCAGCTGGTCGCCACGGGCTATCAGCTGGTCGCCACGCCACGGGCTATCAGCTGGTCGCCACGGGCTATCAGCTGGTCGCCACGGGCTATCAGCTGGTCGCCACGGGCTATCAGCTGGTCGCCACGGGCTATCAGCTGGTCGCCACGGGCTATCAGCTGGTCGCCACGGGCTATCAGCTGGTCGCCACGGGCTATCAGCTGGTCGCCACGGGCTATCAGCTGGTCGCCACGGGCTATCAGCTGGTCGCCACGGGCTATCAGCTGGTCGCCACGGGCTATCAGCTGGTCGCCACGGGCTATCAGCTGGTCGCCACGCCACGGGCTATCAGCTGGTCGCCACGGGCTATCAGCTGGTACGCACTCCCATCTATCAGCTGGTACGCACTCCCATCTATCAGCTGGTACGCACTCCCATCTATCAGCTGGTACGCACTCCCATCTATCAGCTGGTACGCACTCCCATCTATCAGCTGGTACGCACTCCCATCTATCAGCTGGTACGCACTCCCATCTATCAGCTGGTACGCACTCCCATCTATCAGCTGGTACGCACTCCCATCTATCAGCTGGTACGCACTCCCATCTATCAGCTGGTACGCACTCCCATCTATCAGCTGGTACGCACTCCCATCTATCAGCTGGTACGCACTCCCATCTATCAGCTGGTACGCACTCCCATCTATCAGCTGGTACGCACTCCCATCTATCAGCTGGTACGCACTCCCATCTATCAGCTGGTACGCACTCCCATCTATCAGCTGGTACGCACTCCCATCTATCAGCTGGTACCCACTCCCATCTATCAGCTGGTACGCACTCCCATCTATCAGCTGGTACGCACTCCCATCTATCAGCTGGTACGCACTCCCATCTATCAGCTGGTACGCACTCCCATCTATCAGCTGGTACGCACTCCCATCTATCAGCTGGTACGCACTCCCATCTATCAGCTGGTACGCACTCCCATTTAACCCCCCCTCCCACCTCCTCTCCCCTTCCAACCAATCCATCTGTTCCTCGCGTCCTTCTCGCCCTTCTCCTCCCACCAGACGTGGCAGTGATGCTGGCAGCAGCAGGCTACGCGCTGGTGGGAGTGGACTACGAGGGCCACGGGCTATCAGCCGGACGGCACGGGTACATCCGCAGCTTCACTCGCCTGGCAGACGACGTGATTGAGTTCGCCAACAGGTTAAGAGGTACGCAGAGAGTTGAGTGCGGTGCTGGGGAGAGGATTAAGTGTGGTGTTCGAGGAAGGAAGGGAGAGAGCAAGGGCCACGGGTTGGCTGACAGCCGGACGGCACGGGTACATCCGCGGCTTCACCCGCCTGGCAGGCGATGTGATTGAGTTTGCTGATCGGCTGAGAGGTAGGTGGAGGAGTTCAGTGCGGTGTTGGGGGGAGGGAAGGGGGAAAACAAGGAGCATGAGTTATCAGCGGACGGCACGGGTACATCCGCAGCTTCACCCGCCTGGCGGACGATGTCATTGAGTTCACTAATCGTCTCAGAGGTAGGCAGAGGAGTTCAGTGCGGTGGAAGGGGTTGTATTCATGTGTGCTGGTCGCCACGGGTACATCCGCAGCTTCACCCGCCTGGCAGAGGGGTTAAGCTGCCACTTCCTTCCTAAGCCACTTCCCTTGGGTTCCACCAATCTTAGATTCGTCAGAGTGTTCTAAAGGCCTCTGTTTCCTTCCCACCACCCGGTCTCCCCCATTTGCCTCCTCCTTTCCCCCACATTCGTTTCCCCCCTAGCAAGCCCTAGGTTCGCCCATCTGCCGTTTTTCCTGTATGGCGAATTTGTGGGAGGGGCCATGGCGATTCAATTTTTTCTAGTCGACCCAAAGCACGCTTCCTCCTTCCCCACCCCTCAATCTCTCCCTTCCCACTTTCCTCCCCCCAGGAAATCCTAGGTTCGCCCAACTGCCGTTTTTCCTCTATGGGGAGTCCATGGGAGGGGCCATGGCGATTTGTGTTCTTAGAGTTGACTACTCAAAACATGTCTCCTCTTTTACCACACACCCCTTTCCCCCCGTCCCCACCAGCAAACCCTAGATTCTCCCATCTGCCGTTTTTCCTGTATGGGGAGTCCATGGGAGGGGCGATGGCGATTCAAGTGGCAAGGAGGGACCCCACTTCTTGGAATGGAGCAGTGCTGGTGGCACCCATGTGCAAGGTCGGTCCAGTGCGGTGTAGTGTGGTTATGAGTGGTGCAGGCAGGTTGGTGTTGAACGACTGTGTTGTGCTCCGTGGCGAGTCGGGATCCCGCCCCTTGGAGCGGAGCAGTGCTGGTGGGGCCCATGTGCAAGGTCTGTACCAGTGATCTGTGCAGTGCGGTGTAGCGAGGTTATGAATGGTGCACAGGCGTCGTGTTGTGTGTGCTGTCTTGTGCTGTGCTGGCTACAGGGAGTCCATGGGAAGGTGGATGGCGATTCTAGTGGCGAGGAGGAAGAGGGGGTGCTGCCGTTCCATGGGGTCCACCAGGAACGTTCTGTCCTCTCTCTCTCGTCTCTCCTTCGTCTCTCCCTCTCCTCCCACCCCGCACTCGTCTCCCCCTCCCAGATGGCGCAAGAAATGACACCCCCAGCACCAGCCATTTTCGTTCTGAAATGCCTATCATACATCTTCCCCACCTGGAAGCTCGTGCCTGTCAGCGCCAACCCTTTTCCACCCTCCCTTATCCACTCCTCTCCCTCCTCCCCTCCCATATGGCTCAAGAAATGACCCCTCCAGCACCAGTCATCTTCGTTCTCAAATGCCTATCATACATCTTCCGCACCTGGAAGCTCGTGCCTGTCAGCGCCAACCCTCCCCCCCTCTTATCTTATCCCCTCCTCTCCCTCTCTCTCCCTCCCAGATGGCCCAAGAAATGACCCCCCCAGCACCAGTGATCTTCGTTCTCAGATGCCTCCATACATCTTCCTCCCCTCCTCTCTTTCTCTCTCCCCCGCTTCTCTCTTTCTCCCCCCCCAATCCACTCCTGTACCTCTTTCCTTCTCAGATGGCGCAAGAAATGACCCCCCCAGCACCAGTCATCTTCGTTCTCAAGTGCCTCTCATACATCTTTCCCACCTGGAAGCTTGTGCCTGTCAGCGCCAACCCTGACAACTGCTTTCAGGTGAATGCAACAGAGAACGTGACAACTACAATCCTATTATATTATCGTTATTAATAATACGACTGTTATTTTTATTATCGTTATCATTGCTACCACTATTATTATTAGTATACTTGTAAGTTGTCCTGAAGGTGATTGCGTGAGCGTGATGATTTCTGATTCCTATGTGTGTTTCCTATGCTGGATCATGCGTGCATGCCTGTTGGTCTGTCATGCTTGCACGCCCACCCACCCGTGCCCTTGTTTGTTTCACGCCTGGGCAGGTGCCAGAGAAGCGGGAGAGGGCAGAGAAGCATCTTTTTGCACATTGTGCATGATGCATTGAAGCCTTTTATGCCTTCTCAAGACTCACCATGTGTTGCTGTGTGTGTGCACACCCGCTTGTGTGCACGCCTGGGCAGGTGCCGGAGAAGAGGGAGAGGGTGGAGAATCATCCCTTTGCACATCACGCACCTGCGTGTATCTATACCGTTTCAAGACTCACCGTCTGCATCATTCCTGCTTGTGTTCCTGTATGTGCCTGCACGCTTGTGCAGGTGCCAGAGAAGAGGGAGAGGGCTGAGAAGCACCCCTTTGCATATCAGGACAAGCCCCGCCTGGGCACGGCGCTGCAGCTGCTGCGAGTCACCCAAGACATTGGCGCGCACATGGAGGAGGTGAGAGTGAGGGGTGCATGTTTGCATGCATGCATGCGTGTCTGGGTTGTTGGGTGGGGCGCCTTGGCACGGCGCTGCAGCTGCTGCGGATCGCCCAAGACACTGGCGCACACATGGCGGAGGTGGGTGAGTGTCTGTGTCAGTGTCTGTGTGCCGCCCAAGACACGGGCGCACACATGGCGGAGGTGGGTGCACACAGACACGAGGTCCGCCACTCACCCACCTCCGCCACGTGGTATGACCTCGTGTCTGTGTGCACTTCATGGTATTTTTGAGACGTCTCAAAAACAACCTCGCTACACATGTATGACCTCGTGTCTGTGTGCACTTCATGGTATTGTCCTTTGCATGCAAGGGCGGAGAACCACCCTAACATATGTTACCAGTATTTTTTTTTTTCCTCCACACCAGCAGTGCCGACAAGGAGATGACGATGTACGAGGGTGCCGGCACGCCCTCACATGCTGTGCTGTTGGTACCCCACCTCACCTCTCGTCACCGCACTGCATTCTCTCCCTTCTCCAGGTCACTGTGCCTCTCCTGATTCTCCACGGGGCAAAGGACGTGGAGACCGATCCAGCAGCCAGCCAGGAGCTGGTGGGGTGCACACCGCACTTAAACCCATCCCACCCCATCCCACACCCCTCCAGGTGACAGTCCCTCTGGTCATCCTGCACGGGGCAAAGGACGTGGTGACGGATCCAGCAGCCAGCCAGGAACTGATGGGGTGCATGCATCTTAAGTCCTTTCTACCCACCTCACCCCACATTACTGTACTCCACTCCTCACCTCCAGGTCACCGTCCCCCTCCTGATTCTCCACGGGGCCAAGGACATGGTTACGGACCCAGCAGCCAGCCAGGAGCTCTTCATCCGAGCCAGCAGTGCCGATAAGGAGATCAAAATCTACGAGGGGTGCTGGCACGCCCTCACATGCGGTGAGCCTGATGACGTCATCGCCAGGGTGGTCGGGGATATTATTGCGTGGCTCAATGCCAGGAGCCTGCCGCCCGGTTCTGCGCCGGCCGGTGGTGTGGTGGATGGTACTGCGCCGCCCGGGGTGGTTAAGGAGGGTGGTGGAGGGGAGGTGGGGGATGCTACTGCGAGTGATGAGATGTCGAGTACGGTTACCAGTTAAGTGGTAACCAGCAGATTAGAAGAATAAGCAGCTGTAACAAGTACAGCAGCAGGCAGAAGTTGTGGGAAGAGTCGATTGGTCACTTTTACCAATAGTACACTTGCGGTATTTTGAGTGTATAATATAACTGGTACACTGCAATCCTCTAACTCTCAGTATTGTCTACACGGCAAAAAGAAATAACCTTAATTATACGAGTACCACCTGGTACAACACTGTTGTCAAGCCTCATCTAGAACAAATAATACCGTATCATCTGATGGATCAACATACGTACAACAAATATGGAGAAAACAAAGAACCTCTACCGGATTGCTAGGAAAAGAATGTGTTGCTTCTTTGATCCTGGGTCGAACGAAACATATACCGTACAATACGCATTGGTTAGTTGCTAAAACCTAGACGGCTTGCCGCCAAGGAACAACTTTTCAAGCAATGCTGCTGGTGGCGTTGCTAGGAACAGCGGGAGAGGCAACGTCTCATGCGGTAACTCCTGGACAAGGGGAAGAAACAGCGGAACAAGTCGGGGAGAGGAGTGTCAGAGGGGGGGAATACATTGTGCTTGTGCCTTTGCTTTTTGGAAGTTTGGCTATCCTTACTTGATCACAAAAGGCAGCAGGGACGCTGCAACGAGGAGGAACAAGAGTGTGGGAGGCGTGCGGGGGAGAGAGAGGAGGAATTCGGGCTCATGAGCTAAAGACACCTTAAATTCATACCTGTGGTCACAAGAGCGGAACAAGCAGCAGGAAAGCTGCAACGCGGAGACGGGTGTAGACAGTGAGTTTTTGAGACGTCTCAACTGTGAACAGTGGAACTCACTTTCTACAAGTGGAACAAGCACGTGTAGAGAGGGGGTTTTTGAGACGTCTCAAAAACTCACTCTCTACAAGTGGAACAAGCAGCAGGAAAGCTGCAACGAGGAGTCGGAGCAGGAAGGGGAGTGGAGGAGGGGACTCGAGTTTAATTCGGAGTTGCCTTCTGAGTTCTGAGTCGACTCAAAAGCCACCTCGTTACAATGGAGGGGAGTCAGAGGAGGGAGCTTCAACCGCCAATCTAAGGCACCTTAAGTTCATACCTTTGGTCACAACAGTGGCACAGGCAGCAAGAGAGCCACTAGGAGGAGGAAAAGGCGGAACAATAGGGCAGGAGGAGAGTGAAAATGGGCAGAAAAGGCCGAGCGAGAGGGAGGAGGTGGGCTGGGAGGAGACGTCGAAGGGGGGGTGGTGGCAGCGGGAGGCGGTGACTGGGGAGCGGGATTAGGAAGTGGTGGTGCTGCTGGTGGTGCAGGGGATGATGTTGGGGATGGTGGCGGGGATTTTCCCCCAGTTGTGGGGGAGTTTGGTGGGGTGGTTGCGGAGGGCGCTGGTGCTGGTGTTGGCGCAGGGGGGGTGTGATCGATGCCTGGGAGCAAGAGGACAAGTGGGAAAAGGGAGACATACGGGAAGTGACTGGTTTATGAGTGGGGAAGAGAGGGAGGGAAGGAAGGGGGTGTGGCTGCGGATGGTGCTGGTGCTGGTGTTGGCGCAAGGGGGGTGTGGTCGATGCTTGGAAGTGATGTGGCGAGCTGGAGCCATCGTGCCTTGATTCCTGACATCACTGCACGTGGCGGGTGTGAATACGCCCATCCCCACCCATCCCCACCCATCCCCACCCATCCCCGCCCATCCCACCGTTGCACGACAGCCGATGGGCTGGCAGCGCTGCAGATGGCGTGGGGCGAGCTGGAGCCGACGTGGGCCGTTGGATCGGACTGCAGCAAGGCCTTGGGATTGTCGTGCGATGATCAGGGCCGGATCGTCGCCGTGTGAGTGCGATGCCCTCCAGTAGATTCACTTGTAGAAAGTGACTTTTTGAGACGTCTCCTCTCCAGTGAGAGCCCTCAAAAAACATACACGTCTCCTCTCCAGTGAGAGCCCTCAAAAAACATACACGTCTCCTCTCCAGTGAGAGCCCTCAAAAAACATACACGTCTCCTCTCCAGTGAGAGCCCTCAAAAAACATACACGTCTCCTCTCCAGTGAGAGCGCTCCAGTGTAAAATTCACTTTCTACATGTGAGTGCGATGCCCTCCAGTAGGTTTACTGATAAAATACTCTCGTAGTAGTCACTGGGCTGGTGATAACCACCAGGGTAATCGTGTGAGTTTCCGAATTGAGACATGCTCTCCCACGCGTGAATCTCAGGCTCCCTTTTCAAGACGTCTATGTTTTTGAGTCGACTCAAAAGCTATTCAAGACGTCTATGTTTTTGAGTCGACTCAAAAGCTATTCAAGACGTCTATGTTTTTGAGTCGACTCAAAAGCTATTCAAGACGTCTATGTTTTTGAGTCGACTCAAAAGCTATTCAAGACGTCTATGTTTTTGAGTCGACTCAAAAGCTATTCAAGACGTCTATGTTTTTTAGTCGACTCAAAAGCTATTCAAGACGTCTATGTTTTTTAGTCGACTCAAAAGCTATTCAAGACGTCTATGTTTTTGAGTCGACTCAAAAGCTATTCAAGACGTCTATGTGACGCATATGTCTGTCTCATTCGGACCTGTGACTCCCGAAATACGTTATAATGAATATGCTCTGTCTGCCACGGCCCGTTATGGTATGATCCCGCCATCATCCAGGGCATAATATCTCGAACAGATGCTGATGCGGCACACAATGGCTGACGTGGCAGGCAGGCACACAAACACTGACATGCCTGTTGATGCCGTGTTATGCTCCCCCTCTTCCCCACCCGCTGTGCTGACGTCAGCAACATGCCAGCTGGCAACATTTCCGGGTATCTTCCCGAGGGGATCAGCGCCCTGAAGAGCCTGCAGCAGATGTGAGTGGCGGTGCGGTGTTTGGTGGTACGCTGTGCTACTCTGCGGTGTTGTGCGGTGCTCTGCTCTGTGTAGTGCTCTTTGTCCGCTTTATTCCACAGCACCGAAGAGCCAGCCTGCAGCAGATGTGAGTGGCGGTGTGGGGAGCGGTGATACTCCGTGGTGCGCTGTGGTGCTCTGTTGTGCTTTGTGGTGCTCTGTGGTGCGCTGTGGTGCTCTGTTGTGCTTTGTGGTGCTCTGTGGTGCGCTGTGGTGCTCTGTTGTGCTTTGTGGTGCTCTGTGGTGCGCTGTGGTGCTCTGTTGTGCTTTGTGGTGCTCTGCGGTTCGTCCCTGCCTACCTGGCTGGTACCTACTCATGCACACACCTGCCTACCCCTGCCTACTCATGCCTACCCATGCCCACCCCTGTGTGCCCCTGTGTGCCCCTGTGTGCCCCTGTGTGCCCCTGTGTGCTACAGATCCCTGCCCAGTAACCAGCTCTTCAACTCCCTCCATGTGGTGTTCTTAATATGAGTGCCCACTCCTGCCCACACCTGCCTACCCATGCCCACACCTGCCTACCCATGCCCATCCCTGTCTGTGCAGATCCCTGCCCAGCAACCAGCTCTTCAACTCCCTCCCCCTCTCCGTGTCTCTGCTCACCAACCTCACTTCCATGTATGCATTCATGCCATGCCATGGCACATGCTTTTGTCGTTCCTACATACATGCATGCATGTACTTATGCCGTCTCACCTCTTGCTCACCAACCTCACCTCCATGTATGCATTCATGCCATGTGTGTGTGTGTATGTTTCCATGCTATGCCATGCCATGCACACATGCGTCACCCCTGTAAGCCTGTAAGCCTGTACTCCCCACATGCATGTACTACTCCTGTAAGCCTCACACCATAGCCTGTAAGCCTCACACCATAGCCTGTAAGCCTCACACCATAGCCTGTAAGCCTCACACCATAGCCTGTAAGCCTCACACCATAGCCTGTAAGCCTCACACCATAGCCTGTAAGCCTCACACCATAGCCTGTAAGCCTCACACCATAGCCTGTAAGCCTCACACCATAGCCTGTAAGCCTCACACCATAGCCTGTAAGCCTCACACCATAGCCTGTAAGCCTCACACCATAGCCTGTAAGCCTCACACCATAGCCTGTAAGCCTCACACCATAGCCTGTAAGCCTCACACCATAGCCTGTAAGCCATGTGATTGAAGAAGTGTTTTGAGACGTCTCAAAATGCGTCACCCCTCCCCACATGCATTTACTACTCCTGTAAGCCTCACACCATAGCCTGTAAGCCATATCACACATGTGTCCCCGTTGCTCACCAACCTCACCTCCATCTATGTATGCCATGCACGCACACGTGTATGCATGCATGCATGCCATCGCACGCACATGCATGCATGTATCTATGCCATTGCATGTGCGTTTCACAGTTCCGTTTCAGCTTCGAGCTGTGTTTGTAGAAAAATACTGCACGTGATGAAAACCGAGTTTTGAGAGACGCCTCAAAACTCAGCTCAGTTTCAGCTGCAGACTTTGTTTGTAGAATATAATCTCTCGCTTTTGAAACGTCTCAAACGTCCTGATCAGCTGCAAACTCTGTTTGAAGAAAAGAGACACTGTCTCTCCCACCTAGCACTCACAATCTCTCATCCCTCCTCCTGCTATTCCTCTCTGCCATCTCATCCCCGTCAGTGAGCTATCCAATAACAACATAACGGGCTCCATCCCGCCAACTTGGTTTCAGCTTAGGGATCTCGAAATTCTGTAAGCAGACACACCACCACACAAAGTATTGATTTTTTTCATTTATCCGGTAAGCGGACGCTTGAGGATTCGAGAATTTGACCTCAGGCGAAGTGTAATTTCCCATGTGCTTTTGTCCCCTTCCATTAACCCTGTAGTCCCCTTCGCACCCCATTCTCTTTATATTCTTCTGTTTCGGTTCCTACTTCAATGCTTTTCTCCCCTCTTGCAACCCCCTCCTCTCTCCTTCCACCCTCTCCCCCTCCCCTTGCACTTCCCCCTCCCCTTGCACCTCCCCCTCCCCTTGCACTTCCCCCTCCCCTTGCACTCCCCCCTCCCCTTGCACTTCCCCCTTCCCTTGCACCTCCCCCTCTCCCCCTCCTTATACAAGAGAGACCTTTCTCGCAACCGCCTCACCTCTGTGAATGTTCCCCACTCCTTTGCAACCCCCCTCTCCCCCCCTCCCCATACACCAGAGACCTGTCTCGCAACCGCCTCACCTCCTCTCTCCCAGACGCCTTCGACTCCCTTGCTCCCAGATGGCCTTTGACTCCCATTCTTACTTGGTCTAGCCAATTACATCCCCTCTGCAACACCCTCCCCCTCCCCTTGCACCCCCCTTCCCTCCAATACACCAGAGACCTGTCTCGCAATCGCCTCACCTCCTCCCTCCCAGACGCCTTCGACTCCGTCGCTCCTCTACAGCTGCTGTAAGCCATGCCCTGCCTTGCTTCTGCTCGCCCCATCTTCCCTTCCGCCCCACCCTTCCTTTGCCCCCTTCGTTTCCCCCCCTCCCCCTCCATCTTCTCACGCACCCTCCCACCATCCATTGCTGATTCGACTTTTGAGGCGCCTCAAAAGTCGTCTTGTTTCCCCCCCTCCCCCTTCAGCTTCTCACGCGGAACAGACAGCGATGGTTGGGATGGGGAACGGACATGGGTGGGATGGGATGGGGAACAGTCATGGTTGGAATGGGGAACGGACATGGGTGGGATGGGATGGGGAACGGTCATGGTTGGGTTGGGATGGGATGGGAGTATGTTTAACCACCACATGCAGTGTCGTCACGACATGGCTCCAGCTCTCCCCGCGCCATCTGCAGCGCTGCCAGCCCGTCGGCTGACGTGCAGGGGGGGTGTCTGGGTGAGGAGGGCGGGGGGAAAAGAGGTCGCGGAGGTGAGGGAAGGGAAAGGGGGAAGGGAAAGGGGGAAGGGGGAAGGAGGGAAACAGGGATCGCCCCACGCCATCTGCAGCGCTGCCAGCCCGTCGGCTGACGTGGAGGGGGGATGAGGGAGGTCCGGGGGGAGAGAATGGGCGGCGTGGGGGGACGGGGGTCCTAGGGGGGTAGCGTGGGGGAGTCGCTGGGATGGTATGGGTATTGAATGGATGCTGAGGGGAACGCGACTTGCCGACGAGAACTATAGGGGTATGGAATGGATGCTGAGGGGAAACGCGGATAGATGGAGTGGCAGTGACTTGCCGACGAGAACTAAAGAGGGGGACGGTCGGCCGTGTTCAGGTGACTTTTGAATCGACTCGAAAGCCGCCGAGCTAGCTTGAGCTAGTGCCAGCCGCGCAAGCAAGAGACGCGCAGCGCAGGCGATGCCGCGACCAAGTTCCGAAGGCAACGCCGACGGCGCGAAGATGCACAAGCAGCGATGCTACGACGAGCCAAGAAGCGATGCCACTAAGATGCGCAAAGACACCTCGGGAGGCGGCAAAGATTCGAGATTGCCGGGGATTAGATGAGGAGGGAAATAGATGGAGTGGGGAAATTAGACAATGCCGGCGAAGCAGCGATGCGGCTGAGATGTCGCAGGGCACCTTGGGAGGCGGCGATGTTGGGTTTGGCCGCGACGAGGCGCTGCTGGCCGAGAGTGGCGCTGATGAGGAGCAGAGCGACGAGGAGAGACGCAGCCATGGCGCACGATGTGAGGACAGGAAGGTCCAAGAGCTAGCTGGTCTCTTTAAGGTTTATGCGTTCATAAACTTTTGTTTTAGACATTTAGACAGCCGCCCTAGCTCAGTTGGTAGAGCGCAAGGCTCTTAACCTTGTGGTCGTGGGTTCGAGCCCCACGGGCGGCGCTGTTTTGCCACGGTGCCGTGGAAACTTTTGAAGTACAGGGTTTTCACATTCGCTTGTTTGAAGCGTCATCCAGAAAGCGGTTCCCTTTTTCCGGGCCTTGCCACTAACATTGTCACACGGAGCAATACACTAACCAGCAGTGTGTGATCAAACTACCCAACATCATCCATCCAATCCCCATTCCACATGCCCCTCACTTAGTCTGAGAGCCACAGAGCTGCTTCTGCCTTCCTCCCACATGGCTGTTGTGTTGCTATGTATTTACAAAACACAGCCATTTCTGTCCCGTTTTCCTCCCTTCCAAATGTTCCTCATCCACCCAGCGGCCAATCCGAGCCTATCCCATTCCAAGCCCACACCGGGCCTGAATGTTTCTTTTTCCGAACCTCAGCCAGGTCCCGTCCAAGCCGGGGCAGACCAAGAGGCCGGGCGAATATCCTTGGGGCATGTGCCCTCATTGTCCGGGCGGCAAGGATCGGCACCATTCTCGAGCAGAAGGTCGGCGATTGATTCGTGCTCGCATACTGTAGCATAGTGCAGGGGAGTTTGGCCCTCGTCGTCCTGGTTAGATTAGGAGGGGGAGGGGGAAAAGAGGGGGGTAGAAGATTGGATCAACAGACTTGACCTTTCATACTGGTTAGATTGGGAAAGTAGGGAGGAGGGAGTGGGGAGGAAGGTAGAGGAGCAGAACGAGCAGAGGAGGATGGTTGAATTGTGCTTGCAAGCTGTAGAATAGTGCAAGGGAGTCTGGCCCTCATTTTCCTGGTTGGATGAAGAAGGGGAGGGAGAAGAGAGGGGGGTAGACGGTCAGCAACAAACTTGACCTTGCATACTTGCATTTTGCAGGGGAGTCTGACCCCCGTCGTCCTGGTTGGATTGGGAAAGGAGGGAGGAGGGAGAGAGGAGGAAGGTAGTGGAGCAGAACGAGCGGATTGGTGGAAGAGGATTGGTGGGAGTGAGAAACTTACAGTCTGATTGACGTCAGCGCCTTGAGCCAGCAGGCACCGAGTCATGGCTAGTTTGCCTCTGTCTGCCGCCCAGTGCAGCGCCGTCCGGCCTTCGTCGTCTGGTAGTGGGAGAGACAAACAGAGAAGAGAGAATCATAAAAACGGATGATTCGAGGGACGGTATTGATGCAAAACAAAAGCGCACTTGCACAGTCAAAGATAACCCCTGTGCCATATCTCCCCACTCCACACTCACCACATTCAACCACTCTGCACTACATCCCACCACCCTGACCGACCGCATGCCACCGATCTACACCGCATCTCACCTCTCTGTTCCAGAGCCTCCGGGTGCTGCTTTACCCACTCCTCCACTGCTGGCGTGTCCTCCACATCAGCACTAGCCAGTGCATGCAGGCGACTGGAAAGGAATACGTTGTGGGGGGGTTTGGGAAAGGGGAAGGTTGCGGAAAGAGGGGAGGAAGAAACGGGGGAGGGGGGAGGAATGGAGGCGGGAGGGGAAGGTCACAGCTGGAAGGATGCAGGATGAATGGGGCGGGAGGGGAGGGAGAAGATGCATGAAGGAGACTGAAGAATGATAGGGAAGGGGAGGAAGGAAGGGCGAGAGGGCATGAGGGGATTTTTTTAGATGTCTCAAAAAAATCTCTTGTATCTCAAGAGGGGATGAGGGGAGCAATGAGGGGAGCAATGGAGGATGAAGGGCTCGATGGAGGAAAGTGCAGAGAGTGTGTTCTGAGGGGGAACACACTCACCCGAAGCCAGACCCACTGCTGTCCGCCGCTGCCATTCCACTCGCTCCGCCTTCCCCTTCCTCCCCCACCTTTCCCCCTTCACCCTCCTCCCCTCCTTCCGCCATCAGCATTGTACTCACCCCCCGCCCTGCCCCTCCCCCTCCCCCTCCTCCTCCCCCATCTCCGCCCTTGGATCCCTGAGGGGAAGAGGATTGGAAAAGGGATTTTGTGCATGAGGCAAGCTTGAAAAACTTCGCAGCGATCGAGGCAAGGTGGAGAGCAGGTAACCATGTCCCAGATAATTCGCACAAGCTCCTCCCACACCCGCTGCCCTTCGCACCATGCATTCCCTCCCGTTACATCACGTTGCAATCATCCACCCCCCCCGCCCCCGCACACACATACAGCTCACCTCACCTGGGTTCTCCCTTGATATTTCGCAAACGAGATCCGTAAATCCGCGTTGCAATCATGCTCACACACCATCACCCAGATACATACATACAGCTCACCTCGTTGGGGTTCGGAATAATCTGCTCCACCAGCCCCACGTACTGCGCCATCGCCTCGTCCTGTCTCATGCTCCCCAGCTTTTTCCATGCATCCCTGTAACGAGCAGAGAGACAACAGTAACGAGTACAAGTCACAGAGCAAACTAACTCGCACAACCGCTACTGCAGTCGCTGATGCTGCCACACCAATACCAATAGAAAAGAAAGGCTAGAGGTCATATTTTCGCTCGGTTCAATAAACTGACTCACGTTCCCATAGTTTTTGTTTTTATTTGTTGCATCAAACACAGCAAGACGTAAGGGGAACGGATGCTCACTCACCATTTCGCCCGCGCGGTAAAGCTATAGCCAGCGGGCTGTTTGGTGTCGCACGGACCGTCGCTCGCCTGCTTGTACAGCGCGTACAGCTGCAGCTGCAGCTGCTGCAGCAGCCCAGGAAAAGAGTGCTCACTCACTCACCATTTGGCCCGCGCCTTGAAGCTGTAGACAGCGGGCTGCTTCGTGTCGCACGGCCCGTCGCTGGCTTGCTTATACAGCCCATACAGCAGCAGCTGCAGCCCCTCTCCAATCCGCAAATTACCCGTAGCCGCCATAGTCGTCACTAAAGCTGCCGCCGCCGAGAATCGATCCTCCGCCTCTGACGCCTCTATGCCCTCCCAGTCGTCGTCGCTCTCGCCGTCCCCCCCGCTGACTCCGTCCGCGTCACGAGGAGCGGAGAGAGCAGGAGCAGCGGAAGGGGTGGAAGAAGCGGAAGGGGCGGAAGAGGGAGGCGGAACGGAAGCGGCGGACGCGGTGGAAGCGGGCGGAGCTGAAGCGGCGGAAGCTTCTGCGGAAGTGTCGGTGGCAGCTGTAACCGTCGTGGTGACGGGGTTGGCTGAGGCGGAAGTGCTAAGGGGAGAAATGGCGGAAGCTTCCACAACAGTGGGTAAAGCGTCACTAAGTGCGTCATTAAGTGCGTCTTTTAACGGGACTGGAGCAACAGGTGCTTCCCCTTGCGACGGGTCTAGGTTTCCTTTGGAGATGGGAGGAGTGACAGGAGGCACTTCGACAATATCATCATCGCTAGTGTCACCGTGTGCGGCAAAGGCGTTGTCGTTTCCGAGCGAGCTCGGTTTGTCGTCTTCTGCCTCGTGCATCTCTACCTGATTCCATTCCTCCTCCTCTTCCACCTCCTCGTCCTCCCCCTCCCCTTCTCCCTTCTCTTCGGCTTTCCTCGTTATAGTCATCTCGCTATTTTTGAACGTAAATACAGTGTGCATGACGGTGTACAGCATCCACGCTAGTATCAGGGTGAAGAATAACGGGGACGCCACGTCCTCCAGCCATCGAAACGCCAGGGTGACACCCCCCGCACCCGCCATTGATGATGTCACAGTGAGTTTCAAAATCAGGCTGCAATAATCGTGACAGTTCTTCACAGTATCGCAGGAATACTGAATGAAAGGAAATTCCAAGTTAAGATGCGTAGAAAAGGCGCGTCGCGTAAAGGCTCCAATGCCGTGGCGCGCCTTGCCGAGCAGACAGCAACGCAAGCGAAGTCGCCTCCTGAATATATCCACCGCTTCTGTTATTCGCGACAGCACGAGCGGACACTTCGAGACGGCAACCCTGCTGCCTTGAAGCTAGCGCGATAGTAGCAAAAAAATGAAAGAAATCAACAAACGTATCGCTATCGCCTGCTCCTCAAGCTAGCTAGCAGCAGGGACAAAATTGGCTTTCTCTGTGTTGTGACATAAAAACCACGAGTGCCTCGTACCTTGGCGACTTTTCGGAACTCTCAGGGCGTATCCCTGGGTGGTGGCAGGGCAACTGTAGCTGGCACTGTTGGTGGCATGCGCATTTTCCGGGCCCCTGTGTTTTTGGGAAAGTTGCCACCAACCTTGCCAGCTACAGTGGCCCTGCCACCAGCCAGGGATACACCCTCACACTTCTATGTTCCACGCCTAAACATACAAGTCTTTGCGGTTAGTAATACGTAAAAAACGGTAAAGAATGGTTCCTAGCTGGATGAAAGGTTATTTTGAGACAGGCCTAACCCGAGCTTCCACCTGAGGTCTGGAATTGTGCAAAGAGAACCTATCTCTAGGGCGCTGTTCTTTTGGCCAAAAATGGCCTTCTTGGATTCTTCCATCCGCACCAGTGGTGCTTCGGTTCAGGTTGGGCATTGTCCGAAGCTGCACGCATCAAGAAAACCGAGGAAACCTGCAGAACAGCACTTTTGTGACACTGTACCAGAACCGCCCGTATGTTCCACGCCATTTCCTCTCCAGGCAAATGGTCCGCATCACTGGTGCGACCTCTCGAGGTGAAATCACCTCCGCACCACTGGTGCGGGGCAGAAACCAACGCCCAACACAACCTACCGCGTTCAGATTTCAAGAAAATCTTCTTACGTTCTTGCTGCTCGATACTCTTTCATGTGTGACTGATCAAGAAATCCGTATCGTTGCCTTTACCAAGATGAGTTACCCTCGGTTCTCATTTCGCCAGACCGTGTTCAGAAGGGCAGACCCGAGTTTGGCTGAGCTGTTCAAACGAGAAGTTACCTCGGTTAAAACTGAGCCTTCATGTGTTGCCAAGTCAACCAAAAAGGCACCTGAACTTATTGCGAAGTTTACCAAACCACCAACGGTGCAGCGACGAGAACTCCAGTAGAACAGCGCCTAGGTGGGCAAAGCGAACCTAGGGACACCACCATACCTCAACCTGTTTCAGAGCGCGCTGATAACTGATTGGATAGCTTTGGTCTTTGGATGCTTGTTGTAGACGCATGCTTGTTGGCGCGCACACTGGGGGCGTCCCCTTTGTGTGCGTGCGCGCTAGGAGGATATCGACCAGCAGTATATGGCCTACGTAACTCTTAGTTAAGTTTATGTACATGAACGGGCAGACGAAAGCAAAAGATTGCGACCTCTTCTGCTAGCACCCATCAGGTCATCGGCCCGGTGTAGCTCGCCTATTGGCTCCTTGCGGAGCGAATCAGCGCCTGATACAAGGCCTGGACGCATCGCAGGTGTGCTGGCTGACGGGGCGTCACCAGTGATTGGCGTCACTTGGGACAGGCGCCACGTCAGAATCAAGTAACTCATTAACAGCAGCCACCATACCGCTATAAGAGGACATGATCCTAGACCTCATGGCTGCTATTTGAAATTGTCTGATTATACTGCACCTCTCATAAAACTACGGTAGATCTGCATATGGCCAACTCACTTATAAGCTACATACTTTCAAAAGAGGTTGGGTGAAGTAACAGCGAAAATATATGTGACATTGACAGGCACATTCTACAATGCAGTACGGATATACTAATGATTTATGTACACACAACTGCTGCAATACATGTATTTACTTCACCTTGCCAGGTGCTTGTTTCTTCTTGATACTACCTTTCTCTTTTCCTGTGTTTTGTTTTCCCTTGGTTTTTTTCTTCGCTACCCCTTCCCCTCGCTGCTGCTCTTGGCATTCAAGCCCATTCGCCATCACATATGTCCCATCCAAACCGCAACCCTCCATTTCACCAGAACCACCCTCCTCTCCTCTTGCCCCATCACCATCACCTTCAATTTCCCCATCAACCACTGTTTGCCGCAACCCAGAGACCTCATTTGCTGACAAAGCACCCCCCTCTGCTTCTCCTGACGCTGCTGCTGACACACACCGAGACTCAGGCAAAGCATACTGGTTACAGCACTCCATGTTACTTGCTGCACCCTGGCAGATTGGTCCGATCTCCACAGGCGTTCTGTTAAGCAGCTCAAAAGGTACCTGATCAGGTGCCTGGATGCCCGGCCAAGGAACGTCACCAGGCACCTGAGACGGCACCTGAGGAGCCACCTGGGGCGGCGGCAGAAACGGCACCTGAAGAGGAGCCTGAAGTGGGACGGAAGACCTGTGGGCGCTCTGCAGCTGTAATGGAGGGGTCTGAAAGAAGGGGAGCTGATGCAAGATCCAAGCTAGCTGTACGGGGTGTGGCATGGCATGTGGGACAACGTGTGGAAGGGCATCTGCTGATTGATACACCATGAAACTCTCTGGGAGGGCATCTGCTGTTTGATAAACCATGAAACTCCCTGGGAGGGAATCTGGTGATGGCTTCACTGCTTGCTCGCTCTCCTGTGGTTCAGCCAATGGTGTCGCTGCTGGTGCTGCTGCTGCTGCAGCAGCAGATGCTGATTCTGAGGTAACTGCCTGTCCATGTAATAACTCTGCCCCTGCTTGTGTTCCTCTTGTTAGCCCCTCTGCTTCTCCCTCTGCTTCTCTCTCTGTTCCTGCCTCTGCCTCTCCAGCTGGGCCCCCCTGCATTGCTGCTTGTGCCTCTGCCTCTCCCTCTCTTCGTACCTGTACATATTCTGCTGCTGCTGCTGCTGCTGCTCCTGCTGCTGGTGCTGGTACTGGTGCTGCTGCTGCTGCTGCTGAGGCTTCCTGCATGGCGGCAGCAGCAGCAGCAGCAGCTGCGGCGGCAGCTTCAGCAGCAGCAACAGCAGCAGCCACCACAGCAACAGGCACGTCGATCAGCTGCTGCCGGTGCCGCCTCTTCCTCACCACCTTGCGCCGTAACTGCCCCGCCTCCACTGCAAAGGTCTTTACAAGCACATCCGGGTGGAAGGACACTGCCCTCTGCCGTCCCTGTGCCGGGGTGCTTGCACCCTTTGGAGCTGCAGCAGCAGAATTTGCAGCAGAGCATGCAACAGATGCAGGGTTTGCAAATTCTCCAGCAGCAGCAGCAGCAGGAGCAGCAGCAGCAGCAGCAGCAACCGGCTCTGCCTGATGCCCCAGGTCTACTCCAAACGCCTCCTCTTGCCGTGCCTCCTTGAACTCCTCTTCCCCCAGCGCATGTGCTCTTTTACCAGCAGCAGCAGCAGCAGCAGCAGCAGGAGTATCCTCCTCTTTCACCTCCCCTCGCTGCTGCACCTCTCTCACCTCCTCTCGCCCTTGCACCTGCACACAAGCCAAGTCTGCCACAACAGTAGCCTTATGAGGCGCCTCAACAGTCACGTCTTCGCGCCCTTGCCCCGGCCCACAGGCCAGTTCAGTCACCAGCATTGCCAGCGCTCTCACTTCACTACTGCTCGTGCTCAGCTTTCTAGCTCCATCTTCCGGACCTGCATCTGCTGCAGCTGACGCTCCAAGCTTTGTAGTTCCGCCATCCCCTGCTGCTAATCCTCCTCCTACAGCCTCCTCCCCCTTGCTCTCCCCTGCTTCTGATCCTTCCCCAGCCTCTGTTGTTGTTTCCTTCCCCAGACCACTCTCCATATCTCCTGCAAGAAAGCTGCCTTCAATATCTGAACCGTTTTCTAGGATTTTCAAAACTGCTGCTGATCCTCCCCTTGCTCGGCCCTCCACCCCATTTTCTAATTCGTCTGCTTTTTTGCTGCCGTTTATCAGTAGAACACCTTCTGCTGGTTCTTCTGCTGTGCCGCTGCCCATTCCCCGTGCTTTTCCATGCTCTGGAATAGAGGCTGTTGCACTGGCAGCGGCAGTTGCAACAGTGGTTGTCGCAATGGCTGTGGAACCAGCTGCAGCAGTAGTGACACTTTTCCCTCCAGCATCCACCTTTCCTGTGCTCGCCCTCCCCTTCTTCCCACCTGCCTTCACCCCACTCACCTTCTCTTTCTCTTTCTCCCTCTCCTTCTCCTTCTCTTTCTTCTTCTCCTTCACCTTCTCTTTCACCTCCTTTTGCTTCTTAGGCTTGCGCGGGCTCTTGATGCCTTTCTCCCTCACACTACCTTGTAATGCATCTGCCGTGAGAGGGGATAAATCTCTTGTCTCTCTACCGCCTTGTAGCGCATCTGCCTCTAGCTGTCTCACTTCATGGCCTTGTAATGCATCAGCCTCTAGCGGAGCACCAGCTTCCCCTGCCTCTTCCCCTGCCTCTTCCCCTGCCCCTGCCTCTGCCCCCTCCTTTGCCCCTGCCTCTGCCCCTTCCTCTGCCCCTGCCGCTGCCCCTTCCTCTGTCCCTTCCTCTGCACCTTCCTCTGCCCCTTCCTCTGCCCCTTCCTCTGCCCCTGCCTCTGCCCCTGCCTCTTCCCCTGCCTCTGCCCCTGCCTCTGCCCTTCCCCCTGCACCTCCCTTAGCTTTTTCTATGCTTGGGCGGTCAGCGCACCCTCCTTGCTCCACATTTCTTTGATCTTCAACAAAAACAGACCCTTCTGTCGTTCCCTCCTCTCCATCCCCCTCCTCTCCTTTCCCCTCCTCTCCTTTCCCCTTCCCTCTGTTCCCCTCCTCTTCTTTCCCGTCCTCTCCTTTCCTCTTCCCTCTTTTCCCCTCCTCTCCTTTCCCCTCCCCTCCTTTCCCCTCCCCTCTTTTCCCCTCCTCTCCTTTCCCCACCTCTCCATCAATCTTCTTCCCTTCTCCCGTGTCCTTCCTCCTCTCCTCTTCCTCCCCTCCACTTCCATCCATTCCACTCATCTCTGAAAAGAGAAACGTCCGGTCCTCTGGCGGTTTTAGAGGCTCCATTTCATCCATCTCTGAAAAGAGAAATTCCCGGTCCTCAGGAGCTCCCATGAAAATGTTGAACACGCTGCTGCGACTGGGAGTGCCGCTGCTGCTGCGGCTGTAAGTGCTGCTGGTGCTGCTGCTGCAGCTGTGAGTGCTGCTGGTATTGCCGGTGGTGGTCCTGCTGCAACTAAAACTGCTGCTGCTGGTGCTGCTGCAGGAGAAAGAGGAGGCTGAAGGAGAGGAGTGGGAAACCGTATCAGCACTGTTGGGGCGAGGAGAATCGCAATTGCCCCAAGACCTGGAATCACCACTGCTGTCACGCTCTGCACTAGCTGCAGCAGCAGACACGTCTAAGTCAGCAGCAGAGTCTGCAGAAGAATCAGCATCAGCACTAGCAGAACCAGTACCAGCGACAACAGCAGTAGCACCAGCAGCACCAGTATCAGCGACAACAGCAGTAGCACCAGCAGCACCAGTATCAGCGACAACAGCAGTAGCACCAGCAGCACCAGTATCAGCAGAATCAGCACCAGCACCACGAGCAGCGCCTTTCGGCTTCCCAGTTTTCTTATGTGTAGCATTAGCCAGGTGTTGTTGCCTGGGCTGCCTCCCGCCTGCTGTGCGCTCCACAGCAGCCAAACCAGCAGCAGGAGAGGACGTAGGAGAGTGGTGAGGGGGCCGAGACGACGAGGAGGAGGAAGAGGAGGAAAGCGGCGAAGAGGAGAAGTTGGAAGCTTCCCCGGAAATTACCAGCTGTAGAGGCGCCTGCTGTCAGAAGGAGGACAAGGTTGGTTGGGGCCAGATCACAAGGAGAGAGCGAGAAAGAAAAAAACGAAGTGAGAAAGTTCCGAGGCCGACAAATCTGGGACAGATCACGAGGAAAGATGGGAACAGCAATCAGTGAGAAAGGGGCCCAAGAGGACACAGATGGCACAGTGGCAACATGGAGGAAAGAAGGGAATTGAACATCAATCTGGCAAGAAATAACTGGACAGATTAACCTAAACCTGACACAAAAACATGGAAGCTAAAACCCTACACCTGACCCGAGAAGAAGAAGCTAAAACATCAAGCTGAACCGAGACTTAAAAGCCAAAGCCTTCAACCAGACCTGAGACATGGAAGCAGGAACCGTAAACCTGACCCGAGGCACGAAACCGAAAGACCGATATTCAAAAGCTGCTGAAAGATGGAATCCAAAACCCAGAGCCCGAAACCTGAATGTGATAAGTCGATTGTTTAGTCGACTAAAAAATACTCAAAAGCTGCTGAAAGATGAAATCAAAAACCCAGAACCTGAAACCTGGAACTCGAAGCACGACACCCTTCTTTCGGGAAAAGGCAATGGGTTTGGAGTGAGCTTTACCTTCCTTTTAGTAGCCTTCCCTTTCGAGAATTCTCAAAACACAATGGGTTTGGAGTGGGCTTTACCTTCTTTTTAGCCTTCCCTTTTCCTCGCTTCGACTGAGGAAGTGTGGTTTGCTTGCCCTTTTCCTCCCCAGATGAGATATCTCTCAGCATTCCCAGAAATCTCTGTTTGTCGTTGCCCTCCCCCACATCACAGCAACCCTCCTCCTCCCAACCACACTCAGTCACACCCGCTCCTTCTAGTTTCACCCTTGTGACATTGAGACGAGGTGAATCCTGAGTCAGCTCAAAAGCACTCTCTTCATAATCACACTGCGTCACACTCACTCCTCTTCTCACACCATCCCTTCCTCCTAGTCCAAGCCCCCCCAGACCCATCGGGGTCAGAGTCGGAATATCCCCATTATTAACAGTCCCGTTTTTGGAGGCAGTTCTCTTCTCGAAAGCAGCTGCAGTATCGTCCTCTGTGTCCTTTAGTGCCTGTATTTGTAGGCTACTATCATCAAATGGTTCACTATACGCCACCTCACTATCACCATAAACAGTTTCACCAGAAGCAGCATCATCAGAACCCAAACTGACAGCAGCACCAGCACCATCACCAGAACCATCATCAGCATCAGCAGCAGCAGCAGCATCAGCAGCACCCAAAACAGAATCTTTGTCTTTGCTGCTCATCTGCTTCTTCTTTTTCAAACCCCCCTTCCCCTTCCCCACCCCCTTCCCCTTTCCTGCCCCCTTCCCCTTCTCCACTCCCTTTGATTTCCCCGTCAGCTTATCTTTGGCCTTTCCCCCGTCTGCTTCCTTCCCACACCCTTCCGAGATGGACATCCCTACATCAACACTGCTCATGCTGCAAAAACTACTGTTCATGATGCTGGCAGCTGCGGTAACGGGTGGCAAGGGCTCGTTTTCTTCTGCCGCAATGATGCACTGCAGCACCCTGGCCGGCGGGAAGGCCTCATCCAATGAGGTGACAGCACCATAAAAACCAGCATTCCCATTCCCACTCCCACTTTCATTCCCACTCCCACTCCCACTCCCACTCTCATTCCTGTTCTCATTCTCACTCCCGCATACATTCTCAGTATCATTCACCTTCTTCCACTCACTCTCATCCTCTTCCCTCTCACTCCTCTCCCGCTTGCTTCCACCATCCTCCCCACAACCCTTCCCCTTACTCCCGTCCACCTTTTCCACTCCTCTCCCCACTCCATCCTCCTCCCCTCTTCCCTTTCCTCCTTTCCCAGCCCTTGCCAACAGCGGCAGCAGCCCCCCATCTCCTCCCCCCATCCCTCTCGTTCCCCCCATCCTTGGCCCTCCCCCCATGTCTACCCCTCCCCTCTTCCCTGCCCCTCTTCCCCCCAACGGCAGCAGCCCTCCGACTGCTCTTTCCCCTCTCCCTGCTTCCCCATCTCCTCCTCCCCCTCTCCCTGCACCTCCCCCCAGCCCTGCCCCTTCCCCTATCCCTGCCCCACCCCCCAGCCCTGCACCTCCCCCCATCCCTCCCAGCAGTGCTGCCCCCCGCGAGCACAGCAGCTGGAAAAACATCTCCTCGTGGCTTGCACGCCAGCTGTCGCTCAACGATTGGATGCGGGCAATGCTGGGAGGAGGGGTGTGCACAGTAAAATGCTCACCGCCAGCAGCTGTAGCAGTGGCGGCTGTAGCAGTGGCGGCTGTAGCGCTCACGGCAGTCTGAACGCTGCTGGCACCTTGTCCCTCTTTCTCTCCCTTGCCTGCTTTCGCACCCGCTTTCACTGCTGCACTGCCCCTGTCGCCCTCCTTATTCCCCTTTCCCCCCTTTTTAAGAACGCCCTTTCTTTTAGTCACTGCTGCAGCTTTCGTGCCTTTCTTCCCAGCGCCCTTGCCTTTAGCAACATCAGCTTCAGTCACATCTCCAATTGCCACGTCAACAACAGCCACATCGCCATCGACAACAGCCACATCAGCACCAGATACATCAGCAGCAGCCGCTGCTGCTACATCCACTGCAAACGAAACAGGCCCTGCTACATCCGGTCCTATAACTGCTGCTACAGACCCTGCTACATCCTGTCCTATACCTGCTGCTACAGGCCCTGCTACATCCTGTCCTATACCTGCTGCTACAGACCCTGCTACATCCTGTCCTATACCTGCTGCTACAGACCCTGCTACATCCTGTCCTATACCTGCTGCTACATGCGCACCTACACGCCCTACCACATCCGCTGCTACAGCTGTTGCTACAGATGATGATACAGGCGATGCTACAGATGATACTACAGATGATGCTGCAGATGATGCTACAGATGGTGCTGCAGATGATGCTACATATGGTGCTGCAGATGGTGCTACAGATGGTGCTACAGATGATGCTACAGATGGTGCTACAGATGATGCTACAGATGGTGCTGCAGATGATGCTACAGATGGTGCTGCAGATGATGCTACAGATGGTGCTGCAGATGATGCTACAGATGGTGCTACAGATGATGCTACAGATGGTGCTACAGATGGTGCTACAGATGGTGCTGCCTCTGTTTCTGCTACAGGCGATGCAACAGACGCTGCCACTCCTGCTGCTGCTGCAGATGATGCTACAGATGCTGCTGCCACCGGTTCTATACAAGGCAACTCAGGGGCTGCATCACATGCTGCTTGCGAATTCCCAGTCTCCTGCACAGTTTCATAGCTATCCCTTGACAGAACTGCCTGGTTGCTGCTACTAAGTGGGGGAGTTATAGCTTCAATAGCTCCAAGTGCAGGTCTGTGCAGTGTGGGGTGTTCTTGAGGCTCCTCGAGAACAGATGTACAAGCCGTAGCTTCAAGTGCAGGTCCCTGCGGTGTGCCAGGTGCACACGGTTCTTGAGGCACCTCGAAAATTGTCTCCTCGCACAGTAGGGTTTGGTTGTCGCTACCAGATGAAAGGGCTATGGCTTCAAGTGCAGGTCTCCGCAGTGTAAGAGATGCTGATGATTCATTGTCACACCCTGCTGCTGGCTCTGCTAGAGATGATGCAAAAGCCTCTGCTACAGGCTCTGCTACAGATGCTGCTACAGGCTCTGCTGCTACAGCTGTTGCTACAGGTGTGGCTACGGTCTCTGCTACAGCTTTTACTACAGTCTCCACTACAGGTGCTGCTTCAGATACTGCTATGGATGCTCCCACACGTCCTGACTCATTGTCACCCTTCACATGATCAAATCTTGCACTTGCCTCCACACCATCTGCCCCTCTCTCCTCCGATGCAGCTCCATACCCCCCTTCCCCTTTCCCCTCCCCCTCCCTCACCACTTCCCTCTCCCCCTCCCTCTCCCCCTCCCTCTCTCCCTCCCTCTCCCCCTCCCCCTCTCCCTCCTCCTCCCTTTCCACTTCCCTCTCCCCCTCCGTCCCCACTTCCCTCCACACTCTCTCCCCGCCCTTCCCACCTGCCCTCTCCTCCCTCCTCTTCATCCTCTCCTCCCTCCTCTGCTTCTCCTTTCTCGCTCTCTCCTCCCTTTTCTTCCCCTCCTTTATAAGCATCTCCTGCCGCTTCATTATAATCTCCTGCTTCGCCAGTGCTGCTTCCAGCTCACAAGCCATCTGTTTTTTCAACCTGCCCGCATCAAACCTCTCCTCCAAACCTGCACCTTCCACTCCCGATAAAGCAGAACCCAATGGCCCTGCTACACGCTCCGCAGCACCCAAACCCACGATTTTAGCCCCATTCCCTTCCCTTTCCTTTCTCTTACCATATCCACTCTCCTCCTCCTCATGACTCTCTTCTTCCCTCCATATGCCCACAAGAGCAGATGCAGGCGGCCCTGCTACACACTCCACTCCACTCACACTAGCTCTCTTCACTCCCCTGTTCTCCTTGCCTCTCCCACACTCCTCCTCCCCCTTCTCCACCTCCCTGCTTTCCTCCTCCCACCTTTCCTCCGCCCTCCACATACCCGATAAAGCAGCGGCAGGAGGCCCTGCAACACACTCCACCGCACCAAACCCCACCCTCTTCCCCTTCCCCTTCTGCTTCTGCTTCACCCCTTCCTCCTTCCCCCTTTCCTCCTCCTTCCCCTCCTCCTCCTTGCCTCTTCCGTCCTTACCCCTTCCCTCCTCCTTGCCCATCCCCGCCTTCCCAGCAGCAGCACCACCACCAGGCATCAGGGACAAGGAGAGGAGTTTAGGGGGCCGCAGGAACCTAGGGGCGTGGAGGGAGCTCCTAGAGAAGCCCAGGAAGGGAAGCACGGAGCTTGGCGCCTCTGTAACCATAGCTTGGTTACCAGCAGCACTCGGGTTACCACCCGTTTCTCCAGCCGTAAGAACAGACCCAACTGCACCGAACGAAGAAGGCGCAGCAGCAGGAACAGTCAATCCAGCGGCCGACAGTATCCTCTCATCCCCTGCTGCACCCCTTGATCGGTCCCTATCTAAGCCCTGCGAGCCCTGTGAGCCCTGTGAGACCTGTGGGTGGGGGAACACCTGTGAAGGCCTGGGGTTGGTGGTTGGGATATGGTTCGAGCTGGTTAGCTGGGAAGTAGAGAGGAAGCTTCCTTCTTGAGGCAACAACACGTACCGGCTCTCCTGAAACTGGGCGGAAGCTTCTTGCTGCTGCTGCCTGTGCCGAGGATTTTCTTTCTCCTGCCCAGAGTGCGTGTTGGGCAGCTTCGAAAAGAGTTTGGCCATGAGCTGGTGTTTGTGGCTGTGGCGAGCGGTGGGGGTGCGTGGGGGGTTCTGTGCAGTGCTGTGGGGGATGGGCGGGTCTGTTATGAATGCTGCAGTGTGGAAAGAGGAAGCGGGTGGAGAAAGGTTGAAGTGGTGGTGTGATGAGACAGCGGAAGAGGAGGAGAGGGAAGGGTAGGATCTTCTTGATGCTGGTAGTGCTGATGCTGATGCTAGTGGTGATGATGATTGCAGTGGTGAGTCTGCAGTGGCGGTCCCTCTGCTACCAGCAGTGCCACTGACGCCTGAATTTTTCTCCAGGCAGCTCAAAGGAATTGATGCTAAGCTGAGATTCTCCAGGTAGCTCGCCTCCCAGATCTTTTCAATATCTGCCCGGTGTGTCGGGAGCATTCCTCCTGCCCGAGAAAACGCCACGTGGACCGGTCTGACTGCCCGGCCATCCGCAGTCATCACACCCCACGCTTGGGCAGCATTCCGGGCAGCATTGAAAGCCGTTCGCGGGGGCGCAAGCTGCCCGGAAAGCTCAAAAGAAACAGGAGAATCGCCAGGTTGAATCTGATCACAACTCTGCAGCCAGTTCCGTACACTATCCACCACGCCAGGTGCTTTAGCTTCTAACTCCTGTGCGTCTTTAATCTCCCCGCATACCCTTAACCATTCTCCCTGCTCCCCCATATGACCAAATTCATGCTCCACCTGCTGCTGCTGATCCTGAACTTCTGAAACTGCACAGGTCACTAGTTTCCACGAAATTGCGTCAGGAGCTGCATCCGTCACTGTAGCGAAGGCTCCAAGAACCCTCACTACAAGAACATCCCCTGGGAGGGCTGCTGCTCCACTGATTTCCACTGCCTGCATCGGCGCTCCTGATTGGACGGCTTGATATGGCGAAACTCCGTTGCCAGTAACAGGGTAACCAAAAGAGGGGTGGGTAGGATTAGTGATGTTACTGAAATAGGAATCATTAGAGTCTCGAACAAACCCGTTGCTGTCGTCGAAACTGCTCCTAGAAAGGTCACTGCTCCTGTTCTTACTGTTGCTGCTTCTGCTGTTGTTGCTGCTGCTGCTGACAAAACTGCTGCTGCTGCCGTAACTGCTGCTCCCACTGCTGCTGCTGATCTGAACCCACGTCTGAGGAAGGAACCCGATATTGTATGGTGCGTTATGGGAATAGTGAGACGGCCTGCCATCGCGTGCAATTATCCGCAATGGAGTGAAATCCTCGTCAGCTGCAGGCTCCACCCGTAACCATGAGCCACGTGGCGTGGTAACCACCATGTGTAGCAAAGGCGCACTGGAAGGCTCTGACCAATCGCATTCTGTCACGCTGGAAGCGTATCCCGCAACTGGTGACAGATACGAAGCTGCCAAGTCGGTCCGGCCACTGACGTGGCATCTTGGGGAGGCGTATAGCGGGACGTGGTGCCACGTGGACACGCCTCGTCCGTCGTTATCAACAGTAATGGCACGCCACCGGAGGCTACCGGGCTTCCCGAACTGAATGATTCTTCCCATGATTAACTGACTGACAGGCTCCCCCCTCGCGATGCTTAAATCGACTTAACGGCACGACTGTTACACTGATAGCACGCCAACGACTCTGGTGTGACAACAACGAAAGCTCCCGCTTCAGCACGCCTACGGCGCTGATGCGACAGCGTCGACAGCTTTCGGGATGACGTATCCTTGTGCTTCCGTAGCTGCTGAAACAGCATGAACCGCTTAGGCTTCGTTTGCTGCCTGAATACCCCCGTACGCGGTGCAAGCACCGTACTACGACCTCTTATAAGTGAACGCCGTGCTCCTATAGCAGAGCATTTAGGGGGTCCTTCGATCATCGTCCGGGCCATCATGACATTTCGCGTGTCAGTTTCTAGACGAGTATCGAAACTATGAGACAACGTGACTCTCTAGAAATGCGAAGCAGCATTTGAACTAGAAACTCTAACGACGCGCGAGCCATCAACCTTTTGCTACAATGCTTCTAAGTCAAGTCATTAAGAACAGGCGAGACTATCACTACGCGAACTGGCATGGTTCGAAATAACTAGCGCGACTGACAGCAGAATGTGGAAGGAGTGCGTTTGCCTGTCCTTCCGCCTTGGGGTTGTCATTCAGCCTAGAAGTTGACGCGACCACCGAAGAGAAAAATCGTGGCGGGAGGAGCTTTGCTGATAACGGGGATTACATCTGCCGAAAACTACCAACCAGTCGTATGCCCACAGTCTTGTATCGGGTGTTGGCGAAGTGGGACGAGAGGTCCATTGCATATTCGTAGTGCACCAACACTGCAAAAAAAACATAGGTTAGCAGCATGGTCCCGTTTAATCTATATCTAGCCCTGCTTTGCCGTGGTGTGTGCTGATGAATGGAAGTTTTGAAGTAAAAAAATGTAAAACGGTTGCATCTAGACTAGCCTTGAACGTTAGCTCTAATTTCTAGCATAGAAGACCCAAACTGTGTAGTATAATATCAATCCCATGCATGCCACAACAGCATTTTTAAGCTTAACATCGCATCTAGCATCATCATTCTCCTTCAGGCCTCGGCCATTCAGCTGCAAGGGAGAATGGGTGGGTGGACGAGAGGGAAGCCATATGCAAATGTGAGTGAAAACGTCAGAATACTCTCCCCTTCCATCTCCCCACTCCCCCCCCCCCCCCAACTCCCAACCTTCCTCCCCCAAGAAATAACCACTCCAAAACTGCCCTTCTTGATAGGTAACTAGTCCCTGATCTTCCAACCACCCCCTCACAACAGTCACTTACTCGCACTTCTCTCTCCCATCCCCTGTAAGAGCCACTAACTCACATTATATGAGGGTTTGGGAGGAGGGGGGGCGGGGGGGGGTAGATGTGGCATACGAAGGAGAGCGGGGCCCCAGCTCTCCCCACACATTCCCCACCACCCTGTCCCTCTCATTTCGCTCATTTACAAAAGAACACTCACTCGCTCTTGAAGGAGCAGTACATGTGGCGTACCAGAACATCAAAGCCTGAAAGCCCCCGAGTTTCTGCCAAACACCCTTCCCAAATCGCCGCAGACCACCCTCAATCACCCACTTCTCTCTCCCTCCCCTCAGCCCCACTTCATCCTGGAACATGCTTCCTCCCACTGTTTTTGAGGCGCCTCAAAAATAAATTTCCTGCAACATACTTCCCCACACTTGATTGAGGCGTGGATGCAGCACACAAAGGATAGCAAGGCGCGGAGCCCGTACTCCCCCCAAAACACCACCCCAGTCTACCCTCAACCGGCCGCACCTCTGCCCCTCCCCTCCCTCTCCCCTGCCGTTCCTCACCTCATTCCCTCAACCACTTTCTCGCACTAGCTGGAGCGGTAGATGTGGTGCACGAAAGACAACCATGCCCAGAAAGCTCCTATTATCCACCAAGTCTCCCCCCACCCACACTTCCCTGATCAGCCCTCAGCACACTCTCCCCCTCGTATCCCCTTTCATTTTTGGAAAAGCATACTCAAACTTGATAAAGCAGTAGAAGTGGCCCACAAACGACAGCAGGACGCAGAATGCCCTACACCCCTACTCCCCTCCTCCCCCTCACCTCCCCTCGCAGCTCCCTTCCCTCCTCCTAAGGGACACTTACTCGCACTTAATCGAGCGGTAGATGTGGTGCACGAACGACAGGGAGGCGCGGAAGCCCACAGTGCCGAGCATGAGGAAGAAGCCGTAGCAGACGCAGGCCATGAAGCCAAAGTAGAAAGACGTCTGCATGAAGCCGGTCATGTCTGAGCGAGCGTAGTAGTAGTAGAAGCAGTAGCCAAAGATGAAGAGTGCAGTGGAGCCACCACACAGCACAGACCTGAGAGCAATGGGAAAGGGGAAAGAGGTGGTGGAAGAGGAAAAGAAAGAGCGGGGTATGGTAGTCGAGGATGAAGAGTAAGGTGGAGCTATCACAGAATGAAGTTTATACTGGAAAAAACAAGGATTCGTTTCTATGCTTGAGAAAGCCAAGAGCCAGCAGGATTGGATTGAGGGTGGTAGAAAGGCTGACAGGTTTGAAGGTTGGAAGGTAGCGTACCTCCACCACCACTCGTGGTCTTCCACAGCAAGCTGGAAGTATGTGAGCGCAATCGTGATGAACGCCGTCACAATGATGAGAATGATGAACACTATAAAGAGGATGCTGTAGATCGTGTACACCTTGTGCCCCCACACGCTCGCAAAGATGTAATACAGCTCGATATAAATCGCACTGAACGGCAGGAACCCAGCCATGGCCATCTGAGGCACAGTGTGGCGATACCAGGGCAGCACCGGAATCTCCCTCGGGTACTTAGTCGTCCGGCAGGGCGCCTGGAACTCTGCATTGCTCTTCTTCCCGGCGATTCCGCCAGCCACGAGGAGGGGGAATGTGATGAGCGCCCAGATGAGGATGATGATGACGATGGTGCCAAAGGGCTTGGCGTTGGTGGAGTTGTAGACGATGGCGACGGTGTTGAGGAAGCAGAAGGAGATGAACACCGGTCCGCAGAACATGCACCCCGTCAGCAGAATGTTGCGCACCTGTAGGTGATCGGGCGGGGGAAAGAGAGGGGGAGAAGGGGGGAGGAGAGAGGCAGGGAAGAACAGATGGAGGGGAATAGGAGAGAGGGGGAAGAGGGGTATGAATGGGTGAGGAAAAGGATGAGCGGATGAGAATGACTGGATCGGTGAGGGAAATTCGGCAGGAGTTTGATACACCTCACGAATGGACTTGAACGTAGGGTGAATTGATGTTCATAATAGCGCATAAAACTGCAGGGAAAACAGGTTTCTGTGCAGAGTAATCCCTGCACCTTTTAGAGAACCCTTACTCGCATGTCCCTGAAGCCTAATCTTAATTGGTCCAGCCGAAGGGAGTCCAACGAATACCTTAACCTGCGTGGTTGCAATACCAAGATTTTATACCAAAATATTACAGACATCTTTGGTTCGTTTTCTCTGTATCCCTGGTCGGTTTCAAAACTGCATTGCACTCACCCAGTTGGTGCCCTCCATCTGC